GAGACATGAACTTGCCAGGGCTTCCCCTTTTCCCTTCTGCTGCTAGGTCACGACCCCCACGTTAAAGACCCCTGATTTAAAGTCCACTATTTATCTGCGCTGTGCAAACTTGAACTTCTCCCTGGCTGCACTGGTCTGACTTTGTGTGTGGTCATCTCCTGCTCTCATCCCCATCTTCCTGTCCACTGTGCACGTTTTATCTTCACGAGCACCTCATAGATTTATGTATGTGTGCGCGTGTGCATGTGTGTGTGCGAGGGAGGCGGGCTGGCTGCTGCCGACGTGTCCCTGGGAGGACAATGCCTTCTGTTAGTCCGTATTCAGACCGTGAAATCGCTTTATCCTGGCTAACGCTCGCTCTCTCTGCCTCAGCGGGCAATCATTCTCGCACTAGTGTGTATGTGGAGGGAGGAGACATTGATTCAGTGATTACAAGTTACTGTAGGCTTCTTTTGTCTGAGTTTCAGCCTCTTCTTGGGAGTGCTGCTGCGTCATATCTTTGCATATCACTCCCTCAGAACAGTTTGTGTGTACAGAAGACTTGGCTGAATGAATCCGCTACTACCTTTCCGTGTTTTTGGTTCTTCTTGTTCGAGCATGCAAAAGATACTGGCTTTTGATGTTATGAAAGCCGCTTTTGATTGGGAGATTGGATCTTTTTGCCAGGCACTGACCCAACTGCCTGTAGGGTCTGGCGTTCCTGAATTATGGTTATAGCTGTTTCTGGCAAAGCGTCCTGAGAATTTGCACCCTTTGCTGTCATCTTTTATAAAAATTTTTCCCTTTATCGTTAGAATTTGTGATTTGTTTAATGCTTTTCCTCCCACAATACTTATTTTACAGCACATATGTGGTATGTGATTTGTAAAAGACTCACTGCAGAATACATCATTGTCATTTTTGCCCTACATTTTTACTCAATGAGTTAGTCAGTCCTTTTTGATCTATTTTTATTCATTGTTAAGTGATGCAATACTCGTTGCCAATGTAGAAAATAATAAATAAAATTAAATGGTAATAACTTAAAAAGCAACAACAATTAGGCACTATCTGATTTTTATTGTCTAAAAAAAAAAAAAATCCTTTTAAATGGTTTGCAGTGGTCCACAGTTATTCCTCGCTTGTCTTATCCATTCCGATCATCCTACACAGTAATTATTCATGGCAATGGATTTATAAGTGCTTTTCACAACTTTCAGGGACCAGAGCAGAGTTGGCTTTCACAGCAAAGCTAACTACAACTAGCATGCTAACAGCACACTTCCTGATTATTGGACGATAAAACTCTCTCTAATTTGATGCAAACAGTCATTTTGACATCAAGAGCTGCTTATTCAATATATCTGCGCTGGGAAAAGACACATTTTGCTCAAATACAAGGAAAAGAAATCTGACACTAGCCAGGCTGGTGCCACCTAGTGCCTCCACTCAATTCATTTCTACTCAGTGACTAGGTCAGGAATCGGAATACACTAGACGGTTTACAAGAACCTCGGAAGTGTGAGTCCGGGCACCAGCCAATCAGCAACAAGCCATACATTCTGTGTTGGCAATGATTCCCGAGATCGAGGATTTAAAGTCGAAACAAAGAGAATGTTTGCTGAATTTTATCAAGGGGAAAGACGTTATTGCTCTTCTTCCGACGGGATTTGGGAAAAGCTTAATATACCAGTTAGCCCTGTTAGCGGCGCATTACATACTTCACGACCAAATAGCGATTGGTTAAATAAAAAAGTACCCGCCTACCGTCGAGCGAACAAATTCTAATGCTGCGAGGTCAGACAGTTTCCACGAAGTGAAACCAGCTGATGAATCAGGCTAATCCGATACAGGCCCTTTAACAGAACTTATAATAGGCAGTCTGAGTATATAAAGAAACTCAGTAAGGGCACTAATATGTTTGTCCAATACAGTTCACAGTGCGGACTTGGTAAGCCCCTGTGGCCTGGCGAGGATTTGACTGAGCTTTGCAGTTTACAGTGAGAACCCAGGGGGACTCCAGGTGACATCACAACTGGGAAATCCCTCAACAGCTGCGGTGAGGTCTGACATCACCAACAGGAAGTGTCCCAAAATGTGCTCCCGAGTTTGTATTTCCTCTAAATGTAAAGACTGTTCCTGCAATACCCCCTGTCAGCTACTTTGCAGTCTTATGGAAATAGTCTGAAACCCGAGAAGCTAATGATGTGATTGCAGTCGGGACCAAGCCAAATGTCAAGGCTCCCCTGACAAAGACCTAAATAGTTATTAGTGGTCTTTTTTACTCCAGATTGTGACAGCTCCTCTACCATGCTTTTACACTAAAGACCAGTGTGTGTAGTTTGGTGATGACTGAGCAGCGGTGGTTGCTACATAGCTGTAGTGCACTCACAAACCACTGTTGTCTGCGCCGAGTTAAATGCACTGCATTGTTTCTTTGCCACAATCAAGAGGTCAGATTTGTGAGTCGAGGTTTTTGCTTCAGAACAGTCTTGTCACAATATAAACATTTCAAATAGGGGTCGACCCAAATGTTTAATCCAGAGCACTAATAGCCGATCAGCTCTGCCGATATTTTTGGGCTGATGTGTAGTGCGTAGTGCCCCCCCCCAACACGCACGCACACACACACGGACACACACACAAATTATGTAATTTAAATTTACTAAAAACTCAACAAAAGCTCTTTTTTCACCACAAACCAATAAGAGAGCAGTGTAGTCACGTTTTCTTTACTTATCTATTTTCACAAAAGTTTTACTAAAGCTTTATGAGTATTTTTAAGCTGCAGGTCACCCAAAACAAAATATCGGTCTGTGCTGGAGATTTAAGGCTGATGGCAAATATGTTAAAAAGTCAAAATATTGTCCCGATATATAATTCTTAACATAAACTTGTAGTACTTTATTTTATATCACCATTTAGTCTTATGTTTGTGTAATCCCTCAGTGGTCCATGAGCGTATAATAGTCTATGTGGTCTTATACTTAATTCAGTTCAAAATCATTTAAAAGCTATAGGAAAGGTTAATTTCTGCCCTGTGAATGTGACATTTTTAGTACTGATACCAGCTTAAATGAGCATCTAGTTTTGATGTTTTAATAGCGATTATTATCTGATTTTCAATACTAAACAACCCTAAGGCAATATACACAATATGCTAATTTTCTATAGCTCTAGAACAACAGTGTACTGTGAGTTTGTAGGCGTAGTTTCGAAGTTTGTTGTGTTTAGCTTGCCCTGTCAAGTCGGTAGAATGTCACTACTTGTGGCATTTAGATTTAAATTTCTGTCTCAACTTTCTGAACATATTGCTGGTTCGTGACCTTTGAGCGAATGTGTTCCTCGCACCTCCACCCCAGCTGTCTGTGCCATGTTTTACTGCAGTGAATAAAACCTGCCTATGGGAAGTGACAGTGCTCAGGAATTTTACTATAAACATATCAGTGGCCTCAAGGGAGCACTTAACTCTTTATCCATCAAATCTAGTTGAAATTTAACCAGTTTTAATGCTGGAATGTATTTATCAAAAACTATTGTTGCACCTCTTTGCAACATACTGTTTTGGCATTTTTATCTGCATTTTTATCCACATTCCTGTAGCCTAATGTAAGCAGCGCAGGGGTGGAAGGTAACAAAGTACAAAAGTTAAAGTACTCTACCGAAGTTTTTTTTTTTTTTTTTTTTGATATCTGCACTTTTAAATTTCACAGTGGATACCTTTTTACTTTTACTTCACTATATTTGAAAGCAGGTATCTGTACTTTATACTCCATTACTTTTTTTTAACTGGACTACTACCGGTTTGAGGGACTATTTTATTTGTGACTGTATCTCTATAAATAAAAATTACAAGACAAATTATGAAATCAATTTGAGTCGCTTCTTTGGAACAAAAATTGGCACAAAAATTGGCACAGTTCTTCATTAAATAGCTTTAGAGTTCCAAAATCAGTGTGGAATACTTGTACTTTTTTTTTACTTTTAAACAGCTACTTCAATACCTTTACTTTATTTGTATAGAACTTGTACTTCAGTTTTCATGTGATACTTTTACTCAAGTCCTTTTTTGCTACTGTGAGTACTTTTTCCACCACTTAGCAGCGTACCAAAGTGTGTCTTCTGACAGTGTGTGGTTGTGCATAGCTGACATTTTATCCAAACATTATCTAATCATGTAAATACTATCTCTATATTGTTTTTAGTCAAACAGTTAAGCTTGATTTAGTAAGCTAACAAAAGAGAGGGCCCGTAATGAATATGCACATACGCAGCAGTGGTTTGGCCAACTGCGTCATCTGCTGCTGGTAATTACCCAGGGCTTATTTGCAGCGTTCTAATTTCTCCCCCTTTTATGACTCTCAAGCTCTATTCACTTTGTTTATAGCTAGAAATCAACACTTTTAATAGGCTCACTCCCATTTTCTATGTCTGCTTTTAACTGGGTATCTTCACTGACTGTAATGTCTCAGATACAAAATATTTATTTAAACCAGTTTTTAGTTTTCAGAGTTTATTCAAGCACTATTCATTTTGTTTATAGCTACAAATTAACGCTTTTAAATGTCTCCCTCCCATTTTCGGCTTTTAACTGGTTATCTTGTGTGCTTCTTACTGTATTTAACATCTAAAATACTAAATATTTGGGAAAACCACTTTGTTTTTAGATTTCATTCAAGCACTATTCGCTGTTTATAGCTAGAAATAAACACTTTTAATAGGCTCACTCCAATTTTCGGCTTTTAACTAGTTATCTTGTGTGCTCCTTACTGAAATCTTAAGTACAAAATATTTATTCAAACCACTATCTTTTTAGATTTGATTCAAGCACTGTTCACTTTGTTCACTTTTAATTGGGTGTCTTGTGTGCTAAATGGAAAAAAAAAATCAAGATGACAAATTATTTATGCCAGATTTGAGGATCTCCAAACTCAAGTTGTTGCTAGTTCAATATAGATCAAATTCTTAAGATTATACGGTAAAAAAGCAATTGGTCCATGCCCTTAACCACATTCCTATAGATATGGAGCCCCAGGTGTGGAGTTCACCGGTCTGCACAAAGATACCACTGCTGTTACTCAAATTCACTTTCTGCCCGGGCAGGTAAGCGCTTTCACATAGCTGTTTTAAATGCATTGAAAAAGCTTAATAAAAAATTACTTGACTCTGTTTCAATTTGTCAGGGTCGTCTGCTGTCCCTGCTGGATGACAACACCATCCACCTGTGGGAGCTTGCAGCAGGAGCGTCTAAAGAAATGGGCGGGGTTAAACGACAGGGCGTGGTTTGTTTGCAGGAAGTTGGAAGCTACATGCTCCCAGGGCGGCCGGGCATCGAGAGTTGCAGGTGAGGAAATGGTCACGCTTGGAAATGGAAACACAACGTGGTCACTATCCAGAGAAAAACCCTCTAAATCTTCCAAATTGTTTTCTTTGTCCCTTCAGTGCCACCCGGGTGACGGTCCTGCTGCTGTTGAGGACATGTGACTTGCTGTGTGTCGGTACAGAGGGAGGCGGCGTTTATGTTCTGGAGGTTCCCAGTCTCATACTAAAGGAAAGCCAGACGTTACCACAGGATCAGGTGGTACATAGGTGAGAAATACTGTATTTTATTCTTTTTCTTTTCACAAAATATCAGTTTCTGCTGTTAATAATGGTGTGGTCAACAAATTTGAGCTCCTTATATCTGTTCACATACACAAAGTTACAAAGGTTTAGAACACCACACTTTTTCCAGTTTTTTACTGCTGACTAAAACGTACTCTAAACTTTTGATTCATGAAAGTAGCCACCTTTGGCAGATATTTGGCAGATTTGGCAGAGATTTGGCAGCTGAACGCACTCGTGACATTCTTTTTATAATAGAAATCAAATATTCTTCAGAAAGTTCTTCCCAAGTCTGTTGCAGAAGTTCCCATAAATGTGTGGCACTTTTTCAAGCTTACCATCTTTCTCTTTTTTTCCTGAGGTAGTTTTGGCAGAGCTTGGACTTGTATTTTGTTATCTTTTATATTTTTTTAACCTCTGGCTGTTCAGTACTTACCTTTGTAACATTTCAAGCTCTTCATTGGACTGGAATGACTTGAATTGCAGTAAATAACTGGAAAAATTAGGGTGTTCTAAAACTTTTGACCAGTAGTGTATTTATATTGTATTTATTGACACTGTGTTGCTAATAGTACTACAAAATAACACACAAGCATTCTTTGGTGTCTTTGTTGCACCTCATTTTAATGTGAGCTTATGATTTGCTCATTTAGTTTCACTTTGTCGACAGCAGTTGGGCTTGATTCCCACATGGAGTGCATTTGCTTCATGTCTTTTCTAATCTCTCCTCTCTAGCGTACTTATAGGATAAATTTATGCTTGTGAGCTTTAAGCCATGTTCTAATGTTATTTATTACCTCATATAAAACATACCTCGAGATCTGTTTTCTTTCTTTCACACATGTTTGAATAACCCAGCTCCAGAGCTCAAAATACTTTCTTCCACTTTGTGATGTCATGTAATGGTACTTTTAAAGTTAGCAGCCACCTTTTTATCTTTTGTTTAGTAATTGGAAAGGCTGAAATCATCCAAATGATTCTAGTGAAGGTGTATGGAGTTTGAAAACACAGTGGAGCCAATCCTGTATTATCACAGGGTACAACGCAGTATTTTCTGTTTGAGAGAAGAACATGTTAAACTTGTGAAGGAAACAAAACAAAATTTCAGGTATGTTTGTGATAAGGAAACAACGTTATAACATAGATCAGAAAATAACATAATGTAAGCCTTTTTAAAAGCACAAAACCCTGAAAGAAAACTGAAACAAAATGGAAGAAATCGCCCACCATTAATAGATCGAGCTCCAGTTAAAACAGCCTTAAAACCTTTTATTAACCTAGTAAATGTCTCTTACATCAGAGCAGAGCAGAATAGTGTAGCTGAAACCACTATTCTTGGTCTGTCTGTCAGAGTGTCTTCCTTTTTGTAAACACTAATTTCCTCCTTTGACCTCTCCAGCTGAGCAGGTCATGCTCATGTTTAAGTTCAAAGACTGAAAGCATTTGACCTGTAACTGCTCAGGTCCACGTGAATTTATTGCACAAACATGATAAAAGCCTTTGCTATTTCAAAGTGATTACATTAAATCAACTTTCAATTGTCAGTTCTTGCACAATAACTGGCAGCATATCAGACATCAGCTGTGTTATTTTTTCTCCCCCTTTTCCCCAAACCTCTCATTAACTCGGCTTGTGGTGAAGGCGGGCAGAACAGAGGGTTAATGAGCACCCTGATAACGCCTTGTGTGCAAATCGATGAGGAGGACACTGTGGCTTTGTACCATTTGCCAAAAAACGCAATGTTCCGGTGGAGGAAGTGTCGGACTTGAATCTCCAATGTACACACACACATTCAGACGCACTGGCCGGGGCTCATCACCAGAGCGATGCGGCAGGATGCAGGATTCCCTAAAAATACTTGAGGGACAGAGACAATGGAGGGCTTTGTTGGGAATGTTTCAGCCTCTGTGCTTCCGGAGAGATTGAACCCGGGCAGGGCAGTCAGACATCAGTGTGTATATGTATATGTGTGTGTGTGTTAGAATCCCATTTAAATGTCCAACAAAGTGCAATCTTCACTTGTTTGTGCGAAGGCTCGACAATCATAATTTTCCTGTCCATCTGAGTGGATCCTCTGGGCGTGTCTCTCTCCACATTCTTCCTCTGCCTCAGAGGAATGTCTCGTTCACATTCTCCAGGAGTTCATGTTGTTGCTTTTTGTTATCCTTTCATATCTATCTGCACATGGTTGGAAACCCAAGTCCCTCCGCAGGAAGCTTCGTCCTATCAGTGGTTTTATTTACCCCTCCCTCTTTCCCAGCCCGTGTATCTTTTATAATGGACAGATGTTTTGTCAGAATGCACGTAGGCAAAGGATGAAAAAATACTCTCATAGATTGATCTATTAGTTAGCAATTATAGTTTGAAGTATTATACAAATTTTTGTGCAATGTGGCACAAATGTTAGCCTAATTCATCAGTCACTTTCACTTTGTGGAAACCATTTGACCTCGCAGCATTAGGATTTGTTCGCTCGACGGTAGGCGGGTACTTTTTTTATTTAACCAATCGCTGCTATTTGGTCGTGACGTATGTAATGTGCCAAATCCTGTAGGAAGAAGGACAATAACGTCTTTACCTTTGATAAGATTCACCAAACATTCTCTTTGTTCCGGCTTTAAATCCTCAACCTTGGGAATCGTTGCCAACACAGAATGTATGGCTTCGTATACATCCATCTCAACCACTTTGTTTACTGTTGTGCTGTACCACAAAAGGGACCCAGACAGGCGCTTGAGTTTGACGTCATTGCTTCACAGCTCTTCACTGATTGGCCGGTGCACCCTCTACAAAATCTGGGGTTCTTGCAAAACTGTCTAGTGTATTCCTGATCTAGTCACTGAAGAGAAATGAAATTGAATGGAGGCAATAGATGGTGCAAGCCTGGCTACACAAATGCCAATTTGTCACAAACGAATAGTCTGTATTACCATTAAAATGGGCTGAGGTTCGTATATCAGGGTTGCCAGGTGGGTGTTTGCTTTGGTTTGTTTGGGAGCTTCACCTCTTGGCTTCTGCTCAAAACTCAATGCTGCTCTGTCATTGGTCTGCCAGCTACTTTGTAAAATATTGTTCCATCTAACGCTACTTTACTCTGCCTATACTACTTTTTGACTTTTAAAACTCCCTCATGGACTACCACTGTTTTTCTGCACTATAAAGCATAAAATAATTGTTTAGAAAAGTTCTATACAAATAAAGCTTATTATTACTACCACTGGATGACCTCATGCAGTGAAACCATGTGGAACAACATATGATTTGCAGTGTAGACTCAGTTTAACATGATCCCAGAGTTTGTCATGTTTCCTTAATTTACAGATTAAAAACGGGTATTAATTGTGTTTTTGTCTGTGTTTTTTAGTCTTCCAGAGGACTACAGATGTGGAAAGTCATTGGGGCCTGTTGAGTCTCTTCAGGAACATCCTCAGCATCCAGAGAAGATCCTGATTGGCTACAGCCGTGGCCTGGTCGTGCTATGGGACCTGAGCGAGCGCAAAATAGAGCAGCTGTTTTTGGGGAATAAGGTATTTCTTTTAGATATAGCACATAGTCAAAGACAGACACACAACTCAACTCATATTTGTGATGGGTAAATGTGTCTGGGATGCGCAGACAATTCAAATATGCCCTGTCAGGAGAACTGCTTTTTAATAGTTTGTGTGCTTGTCTCTGCAGCAATTGGAGAGTCTAGTGTGGGAACGCTCGGGTAACTTGTTTGTCAGTTCACATAACGATGGAAGTTACTCTGTTTGGCCTGTTACCAACGGCAACACCTGCAGCCAGCAGCCGGTCTCCTCCACAACGCCGTACGGTGAGAACTCTGACATAAAGCGGAAAGGAGTTAATTATGCTTTCTGTAATAGCTGCAGCTCATTCACAATTAATGCGTCTGGGCCTGACAATGATAAAGAACCAGACCAGGAATAGTGAAGTCACACATTAATAATAACCACATTATGCCAGGTTTAAAATCTTTTTTTGCAATGTAATATTTTTTAAGGCTATTTAGATTCTCACTGTGTTTTGTTGTCACTTTAGGGCCATTTCCCTGCAAAGCTATTAACAAGATTTTATGGAGGACAACACAGACGGGGTAAGCCAATTTTCCAAAGCTTTGATTTCTATTGGATCTATTTCTACTGTTTGGGAGCCTGTAATCTGCTTTGCTCCATGGTGATGTTGTTGCTTTGCCTGGAATGTTACACAGTATGGCATTAAATTTAAACTTTAGAAAAAATCATCTTAGTCTTTTTGTTATTAAAAAACACTTGTAGTTTGATAAATGCAAGATGCCATAAAGTTGAATATTCCAGGTAGACATCTGTGCGGGACAGAATTTTCAGTCCTGCTCCCGCCTGCACCCACAAAGAATTGTGATTTTCAGTTCCACTCCTGCCTGGATCTGCGATATTTTTTCCTGCTCCTGCCCGCAAAACCTGCAAGATGGGGACATTCGCTTTCTTAAACTCGGAGAAGCGGAAAGGAATTGTCTAAAAAGTGTGAAATGTGTTTTTACCACATATGCAAATTTAGGCTGCTTAAAATGCTTTTTATTAATGCCAAATAAAATATGCAGCAGAAATGATGTATGATAGGTATACATTCATCATTTGTATATTTTACTTGACACTCATTTAGTTTGCGGGACTCGCGGGTCCTGCATCCCGCCTCCGCCTGCAATGAGCTTTTAAAATGTGTCCCGTGCTGCACTGTTTTGCGTCGGGAGTGCAGGGCTCTAATTTCAGGCAAAGCAACATCTAACATCTCCAAGGCATGTGGCACACCCTCTACCCGAAAAGTTATATTGTGCACCGTTTAAAATCGCAGTTATATGTAAATTCTGATCAGCAGTTAACATGTGCTATGCTGATGCAGGTCCCCAGTGTTGTTGTACAGTGGAGGGATGCCTCGAGCCAGCTACGGCGATCGCCACTGTTTGACCATTCAGCAAGACAAAGAACACGTCACACTGGACTTCACATCTAGAGTCATTGATTTCTTCACCGTTCACAGTACAGAGCCAGAGAATGGTAAGAATATAGAGTATTTTAGTGAAAATTAGGGCTGTAGCCAGTTAAAGAAATTATTGGTTGACTATAGACATGTCCTGACAATCAATTAGTCAACTAAAAAGGGGCGTGACAAAAGCTCTTAAAGCCATTATCCATCTTTATGTATCAGTAACTGTGCTAACAAGGATACAGTTCCTGCAAAAACAGCGATTAATGCTGAAAGTACAAGGAGCAATGTATTTATATAAAGACAGATTCAACTTGTGAATCATAAGTTGAATCTTCCTTTTTCCATATAAATACCAAAAAAAGATCTTTATTTAGTTAACTCAATCACAGACTAACTTCTCCTTTCTGCTTTTGTACCAAATAAATCCTAAATAAAACGATAATTCAACTATTAAAAATTTAGTTCGACTAAGACTCCCTCAATATTAAGAAATCATGAAATACAAAATATTAGGGGTGTGCAAAAATATCAGAATTTCGATATATCGTATAGTTTAATGTGAAGATAAAGTATAAATATTGGGGGCTGCTGTATTGCTATATCACCAAGAGTATTTTTTGGTAAATTTTACTAAATTATTTTGTTACAGAGCTAGAGTTTTGTTGCTTGTTTAGAGAAAGGAATCTTGTTTATGCAACACATTTGACACATTCACTGTTTTGATGATTAAAACCTGTGTGTTTCATATTAACTTTGCACAAAATGTGGATTAACAAAGACTTTTAGTATCACAGCCATGATTTAGTCTTTATTTTTTATTGAACTGTATCAAATCGATTTGAAATTTACTGTATTGAATCAAAAATGCACTGTATCGAGGTATGTATCATATCAGCAACTTCTTAATGATACCCAGCCCTACTAAGTATATATTTTATTGTCTTGTCAGAATTCGATGACCCTACAGCGCTGGTAGTGTTACTAGAAGAGGAGCTGGTTGTCATAGACCTTCAGACGCCCGGCTGGCCCACCCTCCCCACGCCGTACCTGGCCCCCCTGCACTCCTCCGCCATCACCTGCTCCTGTCACATTGCAAATGTGCCCCCCAAACTCTGGGAGAGGCTGCTCAATGCGGGCAAAGCACAACAGAGCCGCCAGCAGACGACCAAGGTGGGAACAAGATTTGGTTTTGACTGCCCAGTTAGATTTATACAACTTGCATTACTCATGTATTACTTGGTGTTTATATTTGGCTTCGTAGAGCTTAGACGTGCTTAGAAGTTACTGTACTCCCACATAGACTACATACATTATTCTTTATACTGTTACTAGAGGTGGGGAATATTTCAAAATATCAATAATATTCTGAATGTTGTTTTGAAGATGAGTTAAATCTGGATATCAAGTATAGTGTTTGTAATTAAAAAAAATCTGCAAAAAGAGCTTATCAAAAACAAAAATTAAAAAGATATGTTGTAATTGTCTAATAAGGCTATAAAGTGATATTTCAGCACATTTGTGGGGGGTAAGTTTTGGGGTAATTTCTTTGCGTCATTTTACATTTATCTGATACTTAAACCTTAAAAATATGCATTAGTTAGTGTTATATCGACATAAAAATATCTGAATATTGTCAAAAAATAAAGTCAGCCCTGTTACTGTAAACCTTGCAAGTTTAATAAAAGCTCTGATTGTGTTAATATTACTTTGCAACATAATATGCAGTGTTGAATTTCTATTTTGTATGTCTCTACTGGTCCATGAGCCCAGCATGAATATTTCATACTGTTTTGTTTATGCTTTATGGATATATCAGATAACTATTCAGCTTAACATGAGAAGGACACCTTACCCACTGTATGGCCAGTAGCCTGATATGAAATATGATAATGGCCCTTGTACTGGCTGTGTCCTGTGCATTAAGTAGATTGTTTTGGTTGTGAATGTAGTGCTGTATGAGCTTGCCAACTGGAAATGTTTCAACTATGAAGAGCCTAGTCTAATCGTCAGTGCATGGATAATGTGTTAAGTGTAGGAGCAGGTGAGGGCAGTTATCTGCTTTGCACATCCGTGTTTTAATTATCCAATATTCAAGTCTGGTGGCAGTGGTACTATGGATTCAATTGTAGCCATGCCTTTGTGCTCCTATGGCTTCTGTGAATGAACGTGCTGTGACTTGTCAATATCCAACTATAAATTATTTGCAGACATGGGTAGTACTCAGATTTACATCTTTTTAAAGAAACGTTGCTTCTCAAAATACTTTTCTTGTGGCATACTTTTTCTCCTACTAGTAATATTTTTTGTTGAAGGAACAGTACTCTTACTTGAGTTAAAATTTTTGGTTACTCGTCCCACTGTGAGCAAGTCGACAAGTGAAATAAACTTCATGTAGTAGTAGTACTTTTATTTGGTCATTTTGCAGCACTACAAAACAAAACATAACATAGGCTACAATCCTATAGATCATGACTGAAAGGGTTTAGGCCGAAGTAAAATGTACTTATAATGCCTGCACCTATTAAACAATGACAGAATTCCAAGAAAAAAAACAGTGTATGAACAGCAAGTTAACATTTACAGTTTCACTTATGACTTACTGTATATAGACAGTAGACAAATATAATTGAAAGCAAACACAATTAAATGCAGAATTCATTCATTCGGAAGCTCTATATCTTTCAAAACATAATACTTTATACTCTTTTAAAGGCTTCTACAGTGTTCGATTTTTTATAATCATCACTCAGGTTATTCCATAAACTAATCTCTCTAACAGAAATGCAGTCACTTTTTTTCCTAGTTCATTTTTTTACCTGTTCCTCTAAGGTTATACTGACTCTCTCAGCTCAAATAACTCCTGTAAACAAGGAGGAAGCAGATGATTATAGGCCTTGTACGTCACTACAGCTGTACTCAGGTCAACAGGATGAAAAAATCTAAGTCATTTTTACTTTTTTGTGATTTGAACATTTGTGTTTTTTTGTTTTTTTTTATCTTTGTGTAGCTTTGGAAAACTTTAAATGCACATAAACGTCAGATTATCAATCAAATGTTATGGCCTGGCAGTTACGCGACTAGTAGTTTTCACAAATATTTTTTACTCTTACTTGATCAATTTCTTGGACCACAACTTTGTACTTCTGCTTGAGTAATATTATTATGTTGAAATCAGTCTTACTTGAGTACAATTTTTGGCTACTCTATCCACCTTTGAGTATTTATTGGCATAGAAAATTAGGTATGACAGACCAAGGTTATAGATCTTTGAAAAAACACCATCTGATCTCTTGTGTGAAACTACTCAAGTCAAGTCTAATATGTGTAATGTTTCTATTTCACTCCTTATTTTCCCAAAGGTATGGCATTCTATAGCTTGTTTACATATGTGTGAAATGTTCTATTCTTGTAGAGCTGGCCCATATGCGGAGGGAAAAACCTGGCACCCCTGCCTAAGCAACAAGAGCTGCTATTGACCGGGTATGTGGATACAAAAAAAGCAGGTGGAATTATTTCAGTGTGCGCAGATCTGGCACACATTTGATTCTAGTTAGAAAGTGGAAGTGACTAAACGCATTTGATTAAACCCACATGAATCTTCTTTGCAACCCCTAATCTACTTTAGGAATTGCTTTAAACGAGATGCAACTAGCAGGAATAAACACGTAATCGATTAGCTAATGTTTCCAAGCTTATATTATCTTCTCTTCTCCACAGTCACGAGGATGGTACGGTGAGGTTTTGGGATGCTTCTGGCGTGGCCCTCACCCCTCTGTACAAACTGAGCACAGCAAACGTCTTCCACACAGACTGCGACCCCTGTGACGACCCCCATGACCCCTGCGACGACCCCGACATGCAGCAAGAGGAGGAGTGGCCCCCCTTCAGAAAGGTACTGAAAACTCCACAAATAAATGCAAATGGGTAGATTTTACTTGGACACGGTTGATTTTTGTGTGGAAATCCTTGAGGCAAGTAGTGTCAAGTTAGATTTGACTTTTCCCAAAACCAGATGCTATTTTGATTGAATTGCATGTGTTTTCACAACAACACATTTTCAGCCAAGTTATTTACAATTAGGGATGTGCAAAAATATAGATATATCGTATTGCTTAATGTGATGACTAGAGATGTAACAATAACCGAAATATCGTGATATCGTATCGTCAAAGTTCTCACAATAATATCATGGACCATCACAATATATGGAATTACAAGTCTCTTTGCTTAAATTAAGAGTTATGGTGCAGGAATAGCTAAAAAACGACAGAGGGAACTACATAGACCATGATCCTTTGCTCCATTTTAGAAATAACAGTTCTAAGTTTTAGTTTTTTGGATTAAGTCTTGTCAAGGCATTTTAAGAGGAAAAAGTAGCATATTAACAGTTTGTTAGACTCCACAAAATATCGCAATAAATGTTGTACCGTGAGATGTATATCTTGAAAATATCAAGAGATTTGAATATTGTTGCATCCCTAATCATGAGCCTCCCCACCATATCGTGAGCTTTCCTACGATATCGCAATAAATATTGTACCGTGAGGGTCATACCGTGACGATATTGTATTGTGAGACTGGGAAATTGTTACACCCCTAGTGATAATACAGTATCAATATCGGAGAGTGTTGTACTGATATATCGTTAAGTATTTTTTGGTATAATTTAGTAAATTATTTAGTTACGGCGCTACAGTTTTGTTGCTTGTTTAGAGGAATGAAACTTGTTTATGCAACACATTTGACACATTTTCACATTTTGATGATTAAAATATTTGTGTTTCATCTGAACTTTGCACAAGAAGTGGTTTAACAACGATTTTTAGAATCACAGCCATCATTCAGCCTTTATTTTTTATTGAATCGTGTCAAATTGATTTGAAATACATCGTATCGAATCAAAAGTGCACTGTATCGAGATATGTATTGTATCCTGGCCTATGTATCGAGGTATGAATCGTATTGGCAACTTCTTAATGATACCCAGCCCTATTTACAATGTCACAAAGTTCTAATGTTTAGGTAGAGGTCCATATTCCTCCAAATGGCCTAGAAGTAGATTGATCCCTGATGTAGCTTGATCAGGAGTACTTGGCAAGAGGATTTTGTGCATGAGTACTTGATAGTGTTGTCACGATACTAAAATTTCGAACACGATTTCGATACTAAGGAATAGACTCTATACTCAATGCCAATTTCAATACCACGATGAAAATTAAAACACTCTCTTTAGACAATAGAATTTGCAGAAAGTTCCACGACAGATTTCAAAACGCGTTGTAGGTCAACTTTAGGAAGAGGGTCTTTTTCATTACAAACTGGAGAATGAAAACAATATGGAACAGTGACTCCAGTACATCTGTGGCCTGGTTTTCTCCCATCTGTTCTGGAGAGCGCCGCAGACAAACCCGCCCCTCACATTTCACATTCTGCTTTCCTGGCCCACTTTTCCGTGCACAACTGCAGCTAAGCGATGCCCATCAAGAAGCAAAAAACTATAAGTGTAAGCAGTCTGTCTGAGCTGGAGGCTACAAAATGATGAGTCAGGAAGCAAGACACTTTGAATATGAACAAGTAGCGTCTCTTGTGTTGTGTTCGCTTCAGGTAATTCTGTGTAACTGTTTTGCTAACAAGTTTGGTTTTCATGTACATACCAGTTTCGCTAACTTGCGGTTCAGTCCTGTTGTGGCTTCCCCCCACCTTTTCCCATGTATTCTGCGGTTACCGAGCTACATGTTCAGGAATGCGGCCCTCGTATGGGATAAAGAACTTTTCCCTTTTTTCCGTTCTTCATAATGAAAACCAGACCCATCATCCCACTCTTTTCTGACCAGCCTCTCTCTCCTTCTCTCCCAAGTACGAGCAGGAATCTCGGCTGTGTGCGAGAGACAGATTGATGCACGTGTTTTGCTGAGGTTTTATTATCGCGAGTCAAGAGGCTGCCCCGGAGTTTGGAGGAGAATGAAAGCAGTGTAAGAGAAGGGAGGAGTGTCAGGAAGATGTTAGCTTGGCGCAATAAAATTGTGCCAAAGGAAAAATAAACAATCTTTGCATACCTGTCAAACGTCCATAAGTCTTCCTGTTTTTTTTTTTTTGTGGTAAATCTCTTGTCTTCCACCCTGAAGTCATTTGCTTAAAGCTTTGGTATGTTTTGTGTTAGTAGATTTCCCCTTGATGTGAGCCAAGTTTAGAAATGAACTTCAGTGATTATGTAAACGTCAAATAAACATGTTCAAGTTTATTCAAATTAATTTAAAGGTACAGTATTTAACTTTTGGGAGGTAGGAGGTGGGTGAAGTTAAAACCATACGTTTGGCAAAATATTTATACTGTGGCTTTAAATTACCTATATTGCGCTATTTTCTTGTCAAATTTATATCAATGATCTGCTTGAATTGTGTAAAAGCATGTGGTTTGGAGCAGAGGTCAGATTTTGGAGAAAGAAAAGTAAAACATTGTGTTAGATGGAATTGATTTAAGAGTCTATTGTTAATGTTCACTGTTGAGGAAAAAGCCAAAGTGGAAAGATATGAAACATGACCTTCTGATTATACATACATTCACTTTAGTCCGGAGGTTTCCATCAGCACTGCCATTGTCGTTCAGGTTGTATTATTTTGCACTAGGCTTCTGATCTTGATGGAAAATGTGGACTACAAAGCTGTTTTAAAACTTCCCATAGAATCGGTGCATTTGACCTGTTGGTGCACACAAACACTGTACATTTTATGTCAATCAACCTACTTAAATCATACTTTAACAGCAAAAGTTTTCTCAAATTCTCCATTGAAATGATTAGGGTTTCCACTTAACTTAAAGAGAGCGCAGTTTAGTAGCATTTGGAAGCAAAAGTGGGCAGGGAGGAATAAGGTCAATTAGTCAGGCTGGCACCACCTAGTGTCTTCGCTCAATTTCATTTCTCTCCAGCAACTAGGTCAGGAATCAAAATACAATAGACGGTTTGCATGAACCCCGGCCATGTGAGTCCGGGCACCAGCCAATCAGCGAAGAGCCATACATTCTGTGTTGGCAACGATTCCCGAGATCGAGGATTTAAAGCCGGAACAAAGAGAATGTTTGGTGAATTTTATCAAGGAGAAAGATGTTATTGCCCTTCTTCCCACGGGATTTGGGAAAAGCTTAATTTACCAGTTAGTCCCGTTTGCGGCGCATTACATACGTCACAACCAAATAGCAGCAATTGGTAAAATTAAAAAAGTACCCGCCTACCGTTGAGCGAACGAATCCTAATGCTGCAAGGTACAGCCAACAAGATGAATCAGGCTAAAGGTCAATAGCACTAAAAAGAAAATATATTTTTGTTGTTGGTTGACCTGTCATTTCATTACTTGAAGTCATTGCAGAGTGGGTTTACTTTTAATATTTCTTGAGCACAATGGAAAAAAGGAAGAAGCCATGTGAGTCAGAAGTTTAGACATCAGTTTCTGTTGAATTTATGGAGTTTGTTCTGGAAATGACTGTGACGGATGTTTTTGAAACCGCCTTAACAACAGATCATCTTTTGGTCATTTCATTATACGTAATGTCACATTCTCTTGACTTTAAATTCAAAATGTTAGATCCTCTCAGTGTGTAATGCAGTTTAAGACTACACTGAAAACTCACCTCTTCTCCCTGGCATTTAGTTTTTATTGTAGTTTTCACATGTTATCTATATATGTGTATGTAACTGTTTCTTCTATTTTGTTGACTTGTATGTGAAGCACTATGTTCAGCTGAAGTTGTTTTAAATGTGCTATATAAAATAAACTTGAATTGAATTGAAAATGTACCTGTACTATTTATGCAGGTCGGCTGTTTTGACCCATACAGCGATGACCCCAGACTCGGCATCCAGAAGATCAGTCTGTGCAAGTACAGCAACAAACTTGTGGTGGCTGGCACTGCTGGACAGGTAAGAAGTTTGTCTAATTTAAGAGCTATTTATGTGCATTTGTTATATGTTATAATGTTGTTTCCTCATTAAAAAAACACACCCAGAGTTGTGTTTTGTTTCATTCACACACGTTATACACACAATTCTTGCATAGTTAGGCAATTTAAAACTACAATAAGTGCTCCACTGTGTTTTTCAACTCCATGCACCTTCACTCGAATTATTTGGATAAATACAACCCTTGAATTTTCAATCTCTAATCTAAACAAAATGTGAAATATTGCTGTTAACTTCTGTTTTAAGCTTTGGAGATGTAGACTACTAATAAATGATTACGCAAACATGTGTGAATGAAACAAAACACAACTCCAGGTATAGGTTTTGGATTAAGTAACGACTTTCTAACATGATTTAAAGCTCATAAGAGTTTTGTGCAATATAATTTAATTTAGACAAATGTTACAGAAGTACAAATGTTTTTACAGGTGATAGTTCTGGGGCTGAGTGACGAGCGCTCGGATCACCTGGTGGACGTGGCTGTAGTGGACTTGCTTCAGGATAGGGAGGGCTTCACGTGGAAAGGACATGACCGGTTGGACCCACGGCTCAAACCTCCTCCCTTCCCTCCCGGGTTTCAGCCTCTTGGTGCTGGTGCAGTGTATGCCCCCAGCCTCTGTCACTGCGGTGGCTCTACACGCAGAGTGGAACCTCATCGCCTTTGGGACAAGCCACGGGTTCGGCCTCTTCGACTACCAGAGAAGGAACGCAGTGCTGGCCAGGTGAGCACAGAATATCTTCAATACATTTTTTTTACAGCGCCTATTTTGGACTTTTTTTAATCTGTGTTATAATTTCCTCATCATAAACATACCTAGAAGTGTGTTTTGTTTCATTCACACATGTTTAACACAAACCCTGCATATTAAGGCTGAGTTCTTCTCTGAAAAGAAAACACTCAGTGATGTCATGTGGTAATACAGGAATATTTATGTAAATTATTGTGTGGGAGGATGGGTGATGCAGGCTTGTTGGCTGTACATTGGACAGAATCATACTGACAACTGTAAGGAGGTTCAATTACATGCATGGATGACATTTAAAATCTCTTCAGGCTTGTTTTTGATGAGGGAACAATGTTATAACATGAAAGCCAGAAAGTCAATTTTGCATAATACTCTCTTTAACATGTCCTATCTCAGCATAAATTAACTAAGTGATCGCATTATTCTGTCAAAAAGCACAGAATTTTTAACCATATGATGAAAAAATAGCTTGTAAATCTACTATTAAAAAAACAGAATTAATTTGCCCTTAAAATTATTTAGCCCTCTGTCTGCTATAATATTCTGCAGTCGTTTCCACAACAAATCGCCAAACATCACTGTTGTGTTCCAGGTGTACACTTCATCCAAACGACTCCCTGGCCATGGAAGGTCCCCTCTCCAGAGTCAAGTCTTTAAAGAAATCCTTACGACAGAGCTTCAGGCGCATCCGCAAGAGTCGGGTCTCCGGAAAGAAACGTGCCATCACCACACCAACAAGCAAGGTAAAGAATGGTTGCTTTAGTGTTATATATTCGAAAGATTCTGTTAAAAAAAAAGTTTGAAAGTGTAATTGTAACACTTTCAAACTTTTTTAACAGAATTATTATAAAAAATGTTTTGTTTAGAATGGACAAAGTTTATAATATAATCATCTTTTTATTGTTAAGGTTCAAGAGGCCAATGCAGCTTTAGCAGAGCAGGAGGATGTGGCTCCGATCCAGAGGAGAATCGAACCGCGCTCAGCAGACGACTCTCTCACAGGAGTGGTCCGCTGTCTTTGCTTTGCAGACACTTTCCTACGAGACGGTACAGCAAACTCAGTCAGACAGAACAAAAGCTTTTGACTAGAGTAGTTTGTCTTGTTTTATAATTGAACTGGGACCTAACAAACTGAAATGCTGCTGATGCTTTTTCAGTAATATCCAAGAAATAATTTTTGGCATATTTTGTCAATTATGATTTGGAATCTATTTGTACGTTTGGATTAGTGGCAATGGCATTTTCTTTTCTAGACAACAGACAACAAGTCTACACAGTCAGAAGCATATTAATATGGATTGAATTTCAGCAGAAAAAGCATCCATCATTTTAAGTCTTGTTCTCTTGTCTTGTCCCAGGCACGCACCACGGCCCTACCCTGTGGGCGGGCACTAACTCGGGCAGCGTGTACGCCTATGCCCTGGAGGTCCCTGGGGTGGGAGTGGCACGAGTGGGTGAGAGGGGAGGGCCCAGCGATAATAACGCGTGTGTGGAGGCCGTGCTCGGAAAAGAGATCCAGCTGATGCACCGCGCCCCTGTGGTCTCCATCAGTGTTCTGGACGGGAGGGGCAAGCCTCTACCAGACCCGTACGAGGCCTCCCAGGACCTGGCCATAGCTCCAGACATGACCAACGCTCACTCTGTCCTCATCGCCTCAGAGGAGCAGCTCAAGGTAGCACTTGTTGAAGCACTTATAACTCTTTTCCATCAACAACACAATGTCCTTTTCTAATGTTTTTGCCTACTTTGAAATGCCATATTTGTTTTATTCAGACTGACAAGATAATGCATCATACATTCATTTTTCCTTTAATTTGGTTTAGTGAAAAGCAAAGAAATGCTCTCTATTGGAAATGCGTGCAACAATATCTATATGTCATATTTCAAATCTGACAGTAACTTTAGAAAAATAACCAACTTTTTTCAAATAACAATATTGTTAAATGTTGGTTAGCCTGAAACACAGACCTGTTCTCAGAAAACAATAAATTTTATGCCCTGGTGTTAACAGTTCATCCGATTAGGGCTGCACAGTATTGGGAAATTGGTTGTAAAAGACTATAAATTATTTTATTATATCTTTTTGAGTTTAATAAAACAAAAAATGCTTCAATTTACTAATGATACTCTGTCCGAAGACAAAACAAGGATGAACCAAAGCTATTTTTGAACTACTAGTAAATAAATACAACTGATCTTTATTAATGATTGTTGTTAACATATTCTTTAAAAAAAAAAAAAGCAGTGTATTTTTGTCAGAGGAAGAACTTTGGTGGTGTCACTATATGTTAAGTATGTTGCGATATTCATTATTGCATCTGTCAAAATCACAATTGATACTTGTTGAGTAGAAACAAAGTTGGCAGACTTGGTCTTCATCAGCGCTGATGGAGTGAGCAGCAGGTGTGGCCATTTATAAGGTTCATGAACAGAGACACGTGATGATTAAAACTAAATATCCAAAAATACTACACATGCTGAATCCAAGTATATTGACAACGTACCATTCATAACACAACAGATAAAAAAAAACACTGTTCTGTATAAGTTGGCGTATAGTCAATGATGCATATATCCCTTACATAGCACACTTCAAGAATTGTATTCAATCAACATCATCACAAGTAGAAAGCAGAAATTTTATAAGAAAGGTTATTAAAAATACACGGGTATTTGGTCACCAATTGTCAAGACATTGAAACTTGTCATTTCTTGACAATTGGCAGTAATTAAGAAAGCATATGTGTAGAAGCTTAATAGTTCCAATAGTTGTGGAAGCAGCTTTATAGTTCAGATAGTTTGTGTGAGCAGCTTTGTAGTTCAAAAAGTTCAAATAGTTTATATAGTTCAAATCGATTAAATGGTTCATATAGTTCATAGGGACAATCAATACTTTTGCATTATATTGTGCAGCCCTAATTCTGACCAATTCTTAACAGTTACTAACAAACAGCATATTAAAACAATTCTCTGCTTTCTCCAGGTGTTCTCTCTGCCCAAAGTCAGTGCTAAGACGAAGTTCAAGCTGACGGCGCATGAGGGCTGTCGGGTGAGGAAGGTGGCCCTGGTTGTGTTCAGCTCCACGGCTCAGGAGGACTACAGTGAACACACCCTGGTCTGCCTCACCAACCTGGGAGACATGCACCTTTTCAACATCCCAGCCCTCCGACCGCAGGTACCACGCGGCAAGCATCTAACACGGCTGATTCTGGTGCTGCTTTCAGTTTGTAATTTACGTTTATAAATGTGTTTGTAGGTGCGCTACGACTGCATACGTAAGGAAGACATCAGTGGAATTGCGTCTTGTGTGTTTACAAAGAACGGGCAAGGTGAGTTATGACTTTTTACTCATCCATCCATGCATGATGTAGTCACATTAAAAGTACACTATGTAACTTTTCTAGTGAAGGTCGGCTATCTGTTTATTGTTTCTGGGATGTTTGGAATGCTCCATAATATGGTAATTAATGTTCAATCCAATCCAACTTTATTTGTATAGCACATTTTATAAACAAGACAGGTTTCGAAAGTGCTTCTCATAGCAATTTAAAACAATTTACTTTCAAAAAAATCAACAGAATTATGTTTCTACCATGAAGAAACTAATAGAATCAATCAATAAAATAATAATAAAATCAATGAACAAAAATAATAAAATCAATGCAAAAAGCAGTACTAAAAATAAAATGAAATGGATAAAAACAATAAATAAAATAAATAAAACTCACGCGGTGTTAAAAGCCAGAGAATAAAAGTGGGTCTTAAGACGAGACTTAAAACACTCCACTGTTGGCTCTGTTTGGACGTGGAGTTTGTAGTTTCTATTTTTTCAGTTTTAGGCAAGAATTACATGGCAAAAAAATATAAAAAATTCTGATTTTGATTGAGTCACTTCTCCACAGATCTGATCTCTAACTTGGCCTCCCTGTGTCATCTGCTTGTCTCCCTGGAAATAGATTTGTTTAAATTTTCTAGGCAAAGCAATAAAACATCTGCCAGAAAAGTTACGCTGTACACCTTTTAAAAGTTATAATTGATTAAATTTCTTTTCAATTTCTCTTCCCAGGTTTCTACTTGATCTCGCCGTCAGAGTATGAGAGATTTTCCCTTTCAGCTAAAGTTATCACAGAACCACTCTGCTCGATTCATCTGGACCGACCACTAGAGCTCACCCACAACAGGTCAGAACCATTATCAACATTTACTTTTAAAGGGGTCGTACTCATTTGTTTCATAAAAGAAAGTACAATTTGTGCCCCAGTACTGATTTATCGTCACAATAAGACGGCTATGGGCTCTGTATGTCTAATTCTAAAGCATTTTTAACATTTGGATACTAGTGCACTGTTGGCATGCTTGCAGGATTGTTTAAAATTGCTGTCTTCAAATATTTAAGGCAGTAAAAAGTGGTTTCAGAGCCTTTAAATGACAATGTGGAAATTACTTTTCTGTGCAAATCCCCATGACTACCCTTGGGCAATTTACATGGTGAGGTTTAGCTACGGTTACTGCGGGTACCCAGAGTTGTACTACACATTTCTCTTGACATGATAACAAGTAAATAGATACTTGTTCTCTTGATGTTGTATTTTCTATGTGGGTTTTAAAATAAATCTTGGTTTTGTACGTCTCTGCAGGGACGGTAAACTGAAGGCCAATGGAACCCACAAGAACCAGCTGGGACAGGCTGAGGGTGGGTACACTCCACATTCCTCTGCTCTTAGTTGGTACCACTTCATCAATTTTCTCTCTTTCTGACCCCCTCCAGCCCCACCAGCCTTTGTAGGGTTCCCCCACGGTCTCCATGACAACCATTCAGCATGACCCAGTTGCCTCTGGCCCAGCCGCTCCGTCCTGGCGGGGGATAATGGTTGTTGTGGAGACCGAAGCAGATTGAATTTGTGTCCAGTCACCAACAGTGTGACTCGTCCGTGCATGTAGACTTTGTGTGATTTTTACTGTTGGGACACTTTCTGAATCATCAGTAAAGTAGAATTCTATGTGCAATAACAGAAAAGGAAAACTAAATATAACATTCTAAGCCAAGAGACCGATAATTTACATTGAGTGGGCAGTGTTTTAACCTGGGAGCACATCCAGAAAAGTAGCTGATCCAAACACCTGACTTTTTGGCTGATGGTTGCTTCTAAAAAAAGAGACTCATCTTTATCAATCACTGTAGGAACTTGCAGTGGAATGGAGCCTGGTCTGAAAAAGCCCTAGTACACTTTAGTTAATGGGACAAGTCTGATCAGTAATTGCTTTTTGGTAAGCTAGATATTGGCCTACTGCTTTGGTTGCTTTGGCAACATTTTCAGCCCAGTGGTTTATAAGTGCAAACAAACTGGGTTTTTAGTATCTGTATGTAGGGCACGGTCATGTGGCCAATTTTATATATATATATATACACGCACGCACGCACTATATGTAACTGACAATATACTTTAGGCTGCTTAACGGTGGCCTTTATACTGAAAAAATACTTAAATGATGCTCAACAGTGAGCATCTGCTCCTGTTCTGGAAGTCAATTTTCTACAAATTTTTCCCAGAGACTTAAAAAAATGTATATATATTGAGAGTTCAAAGACATCGCTGAAGCTGACCATCTACGTGTTAACTAATCTCTATAACATGGTTATAGGTTTAGTACAAAAAGCACATAAAACACAGGATTTGGGGAAATGCCTTAACTTTATAATAGTTTATCAAGTTTCAGAAATAGATTTTAAATAAAATGGTAGGTCTGGTGGTCATTAGTTAACACATATCTGATTAGCCAAGTACAAGCTTTCAAAATTTTAATCTTTTTTTGGGAAAGTCTATGGAAAAATGAATGAGAAATTTACTTCCAGATACAGGGGGCGTGAGGTCACTGTTGAACTATAAAAGTATCATTTATTAGTGCTTGATTTGAAGCAGTATTTGTCTTGATTTGTGTATATTCTGACTGTCTTAAAACAAGATTTACCAGTACAACAAGTACTAGTACATGTTCCTTATTTCATGTCCATCTGCTATGCTATGATGCCATGGCATCTGTCTCCTTATTGCAAGAGAGAAAATGCTTGTCATTTTGTTATTTCAAGTAAAACAAGACATTTTAAGCTTGTTCTACTGGCCAATCTTTATTTTAAGACAGTCAAAATGTACTCAAATGAAGATAAATACTAGATGAGTTGAACACATTAACTTCTTTATCTTGTTTAAGATTGTATGTTATGTAGTACTTTTTTTTATGGGCAAATTAAGTTAAAGTAGGTTCTGTTTTTATTCCTCATGTCTCATCTCTTTCATTAGATTTCATATTCCCAAATATATCACAATGTTTCACTAGTGATAAGATATAGAACAGTCCTGTCTGCATGAAACAAAAACTTCCATTCAGTCGCACTGGCATCACTTTTATCATATTTAAATGCCATAAGACAAAAAATAAATTGTCCAGCATATATAGATTTTCTGTTTGGATATTTCTTTCAAGCAAGTGAAGCTTTCTGATACCTTTTTAGCTCCTCTCCTAAGATTGTAACATTGTGAAATCAAACCCACCCTTTTGTGCCTCTTCTAGGACAAACAGTGGAGCCTCTGAGTGGCCTGTCCTCTCCGGTGCTGGACACTCCTCTGGACTCTCCCCTGAGCTGTGCTGACCTCACCCTGGACACCACCGGGGATCTGACAGCAGAGGACGTCAGAGACTTCCTCACGTATGACCAAATAATAATAACCTTACCTTCAAATAAACAACAAATACTATAGGCATGAGATAAGAAAGCAGTGCTATCATTACAACAAAAATATATAAAAAATACATAAATTGAAATTGAAGTGCCCAGCCTTTTCCTCATAAATAAGTAATATTTTTTTCCCTCCCAGAAAGTGTATTATAAAAGCAGAAATCAGACTGGCAGACGCTGTCCTCATCCAATTAGAAAACATTTTCTTTATTGCAAAGTTTATCCATGTGAGTCACTCGCTGTATGAGGCTGATTCACTGTGCAGGGCTGGTCCATCCTGTTTCACTTTCTGTCTGAAAAAGCAGTTCTAAAGCTGTGCTAGTTCAGAAATAATTCTTGCTGACGTGGTTTGTGAGAGCTATGGACTTCTTGGATAGATGTACATACATCTTCATTTTTTCATCATTTGAAAATCAGGTTCCATCTTTAAACAAAAATGTATAGATTAAAATTATGAACTCAGTCTCACACTTGAATCACTATAAATTATGTCTTAAGTCTTGTCTCGTCTTGTTCTCATGGACTCAATCTCATGTCTCGTCCTGTGGGAATTGTGTCTCACTTCATCTTAATGTACAACACTGGCTAATGGCCAGGTAGATAATGCACACCATAAATCTGATTGTTATCGGATTTCTGGAGATTATTGCAATGTCATGTAAACAGATGTAGAGTAATCTGATTTCTTTGGTTTTGATTGTTCACACCTGTGGAATAAAGGGCAAGATAATGTGGGAAAAACAGAAATGAAAGCGAAAATGTTAAAGTTTCTGTATGTCAAACACACCAAAAATCAGATCTAATATTGGGTTATGTGATTATTCTAGTAATCAGATTTTTGGTGTCACGTAAACATACACGGTGACTAATTCTAACGTCTGTTTTCAGGACGGTGGACGAGGCCGAGCATAATCTGAAGAACATCACAGAAGAGGATGGGCGATCTCCTGGTATCCTCATTAACTGAACAGGTGATGAAGTGGACTTAAAAACACATCATCTTTTATAGAGGGCTGTACCTGCGCAGAAGAACACCGTAACACGCACGGCACATGTCTCCAGCACCTGTTTCTAATGGAGCCGATCCAGAACACACTTCAAAGCCTCCGCTGTCTGTCTGCTCTCTGCATTCCTACTCTTTGTCTTTTAAGAACTACCTTGGAAAAAACATTAAGTAATCAAGCGTAGTTTAATTTTGTGTTTCACATAATCATAATCATATTTAAGTGCTAAAAACTGACGTAGCTTTCCCTAGTTTGACAATTTCAATGAAGTGTAACATTTTACTTCCTGGTTGGACATTGGCAGCAGATGTGACATGCATAAAGATATTTCATAACTTCTGCCTACAACGAGACTGTAAACAAGGGCTAAAGGCTGCCACACACTGCAGGAGAATTTGCCCAATTTTGGCTGCAATTTGCTTCTTCCCGAGTGCAATTTTGAAACTCCTGCGCTCCTTGTGTGTGGTGTCAGTGTGACTCTGAGCGGCTCTGTCAGATTGTAACCACCAGACCACGGTAACAGCCAATAAAACAGAGCGTCAGGGGCAGAGGAGTGACAGACACAGATGCACATGATACAAACTTGTACACAAAAGTGCAGCATCTCATCCACATTACCCATTTGCAAATAATGACATCCAGTCCACAAAACCGTGCTATTAATTCAGTTTGAGGTGTTATTTAAAAGTAAAAAGTCAAGAGTAGTTCCTCAGGTGTGTCTGTTTACATCTATACAGCGCACAGATCGAGCTGAAACTGCAGATTCTACTTCCTGTGTACTTTATCGCCAATCTTTTATGCTTTAAAAATCCATTATCTGAAGTTTTGCACCACATTTCACAAATAATAATTACACAGTTTTGACTTGTATCTAAACTAAAAGTGCAGTGCTCTGATCTTTTGAACACTTCAAAGTGAGTCATTTTGCTGTAGACAGGAAACAGCAGGTCACAACTTTATATCCTGTGGTCCGCAGACAGATCCCGCTGCAGTCTTTGCGTTTTGGAGATTTTAAGTCTCTTAATATTCTCCTCGTGTCTGTGGTGTGCACTTTTTGATGCTCATTTAAAAATCGTTTAAGACCGAAAAATCCTGTAGTGTGTGGCGGCCTTTAATCTTGTCTAGAATTTTCAGAATTTAATTTTTTTGTTATGTGAAGACATTTATGTGAATTGTCCCTGCATTTTGGACAGAACTGTGTTTATCAGTGACTAGAGGTGTAACGATATCCAAGTCTCATGATACGATATCGTCACAGTATGAACGCTACGATACGGTACGATATTTATTGCGATATCATGTGAAAGCTCACGATTAGGGATGTAACAATATCCAAATCTCTCGGTACGATATTTTCACGACATACATCTCACGGTACGATATTTATTGCAATATTTTGTGGAGCTAACAATAGTGTTAATATGCTACTTTTTCCTCGTAAAATGAACTTGACAAGACTTAATCCAAAGAACTAAGACTTAAAAGTGCTTAGAACTGTTATTTCTTCTTGTAGTCTGCACTGAAATGGAGCAAAGGATCATGGTCTATGTAGTTCCCTCTGTCTTTTTTTTTTAGCTATTGCTGCACCATAACTCTTAATTTAAGCAAAGAGACTTGTAATTCGATATATAATTCGATATATTGTGATGGTCCACGATATTATTGTGAGAACTTTGACGATATGATATCACGATATTGCGGTTATTGTTTGATAGACACATTCCTTTGTACAGTTAAGAGCTACAGTATTTTTTTTATTTACTTTTCTTTTTTTTTTTCCTTTCAACTTTTTTTTTTTTATACAAACTTACCACTTGACCACTGTAAAAATATCCCACTAAACAAAGTACTAATTATAAAAACATGAAAACCTGTCATATGCACTTTATTGCAATTCAGAAAGGAATTTGAATGTTTACATAATAATAACACGGTGTTTAAAATTCCTGTCTGGTTCTGCAGTGGGATGAATAAGGACAGATAAAGTGTGTAAAGTTCTATCTGAGTTGAGTTCGACTTCAACAATCGAGCTTTATGTTGAGGCTGCACAAAGTATTCTGTGTGTCTGTGTGGAAGATGGAAAGTGCCTTGTGTGTTGGAATCCAGAGCGTCTCTTTTACTTATTCATTCATTCAGACGTGTTTACGCTCTGTCATAAATCAGGAGTGATGCAGTGTTTGCTGACACCATTATATATACTATTCTCTTTGTGTACATTCTTCTTCTGCTACTCTTTCGCCCTCTGCTGGTTTCACACGGGAAATGCAGGCCGCTTTGAATTGTGATACTTTTTTTATCTGACATACTACTACTACTGCTACTGCTACTATTACTATTACTATTACTACTACTACTACTATTATTACTACTATTACTATTACTACTACTACTACTACTACTACTACTACTACTACTACTACTACTACTACTACTACTACTACTACTACTACTACTACTACTACTACTACTACTATTACTACTATTACTACTACTACTACTGACCACTACTACTACTACTACTATTACTACTATTACTACTATTACTACTACTACGACCACTACTACTACTACTACCAATACTACTACCACCATCACTTCTACTACTACAACTCTTACCGCTACTACTACTACTACTACTACTACTACTACTACTACTACTACTACTACTACTACTACTACTACTACTACTACTACTACTACTACTACTGCCAGTACTACTACTGCCAGTACTACTACTACTACTACTACTACTACTACTACTACTACTACTACTACTGCCAGTACTACTACTACTACTACTACTACTACTACTACTACTACTACTGCCAGTACTACTACTACTACTACTACTACTGCCAGTACTACTACTACTACTACTACTACTGCCAGTACTACTACTACTACTACTACTACTACTGCCAGTACTACTACTACTACTACTACTGCCAGTACTACTACTACTACTACTACTGCCAGTACTACTACTACTACTACTACTACTACTACTGCCAGTACTACTACTACTACTACTACTACTACTACTACTACTGCCAGTACTACTACTACTACTACTACTGCCAGTACTACTACTACTACTACTGCCAGTACTACTACTGCTACTATCACTGCTACTACTACCACTAGCAGTACTGCGTATGCTGCTGCTACTACTACTACTAGTACTATTACTACTACTACTATTGCTATTTCTAGTGATAATAACACATTGGATTTATCACCCAAATCACATTATTCATTCACGCCGTAGTCAGTGGTGGAAAAATACAACCACAGCTGTCCGGTGGTTGACTGATGGACTACTACTACTACTACTACTACTACTGCTGCTACTATTGGTACTAATCTTAATACTACTGCTACAATACTATTACTACTGCTTACTACTACTGTATTCTCTTGAATTAATATACCTATCGATACAAATCAGAAACAATCAAGAAAGACATACTGTGAGTTAAAGACAAAGTGTTTTAACCTGTGCTTTCTTTTTTTTTTTTTTTTTTTTTTTGTTTCAGTATTGCGTGTGGAGTGATCTGACCGGACTGAACGTGTGCTGGATTTCCCATCAGCCCACTGTGAACGCCACTGCACTGGGACACACCGAACACAACGCGGCGCCTTTTCAAACGAACACACGTCACCACACTGAGGCGTAGGCACTCACAGCTGCAGACGAACTGGATCATGGGAATTGTAGTCCGCTGTACCACTGACTGGAACATAAACCCCCCGCTGTGGACTACATTTCAGCTTCCGAGACTGAACTTCCCGTGTTTTTGTCCAGGGTTTTACGGTGCACACTCACGCGCGGTTGTGACGGACTCTGGTGCACGCTGCTTACACATCACCACCGCTCGATAAAAAAATAAGGGAGGAGGACTGATCCAAGTATTACATATTGTAGCATCTCCCTTATCTGTGCCAATATGAATATTATCTATTGCCTTACCCAGTCTGTAATGGGCCCCACTTAAAAAACAAAAAACAAAAACAACTCATTTGGTGTTGACACGTTGCCAAACCTGCTTGATAAAACTGTCGAACCACGATTAATGCATTATGTTTTGTATAGCTTTCTTGGGAATGTAGACGTATATTTTATTAACGCAGATGTCTTTAAAAAAAAAAAAAAAAAAAATCCACCGGGTGAATACAAAGGTACTGTTAGGCTGGTTCTCACAGGCTTTGAGAAGTTGGGAAATTATCGCAAATTTGAGTGTGAAACGCAATTTAAACTCAATATTAAGGCCAGTCCTGAAGCTTTTTTAAATATAGTTTAATCTTGCGTACGATGGTTTGGTACTTAAGGCATGGTCAGCGCAGAGAATTATAACGGGACTCAGGGAAGTGTGAAAGAGGAAGCAGTCATCAAGCATTCTGTGTAATATGATCAGCATTCACCCATGTTTTTATATAAAGAAAAGTTTTACTATGTGTTAATGGGATACACAATTATATATTATAGGTTATTCGCAATGAAAAAGACAGGTTAAAGACCAAGCCGACGATAGTTAAGTTAGTCGAATTAAAGCTTTTAATCATAAAATGAGCAAAGGGACCTCACTACTAACTGATGTAGCTCAATGTTTACTTGGTGTTAACACAGAGTATTATATTAACATGCTTATTCTGATCATGCTATAACTGGCACAATGATGTTTTTTGTTTTTTTTTAAATTCCACAATACAATGACTTTGTTTCTACTTTGTCATTCAGTTTGTAGGATTTTAATGGTGTTTATTTAGCTTTTTGGCTGAACAATTGTGAATGTTAATAAAATTATTTACTCTGACAGGAGTGTTTTGTGTTTTCATTATTATTATTTGGCAGTACTTGAGGTACTCGAAATACACAATTATCATAAATGCAATAGTTCCAGAGCCACAAAACTTTTCGAAGTGCAGTATATAATCTAATTGAATTTTTAAATGAAATTGGTTCTTTTTTCTGTAAAAAACCCAGAATGGACTGGCTACTGACAAATTATTGAAAAACAAAAAAAACAGTACCACCTATTTTAAATAATTGAAAATAATATACTGATTGATACTAAACCTAGTATTGAAGCCAGATACTAATTGAAGCAAGTATCAATGCTAAAATTACCCATTCATAGGACATAAATGGACCTTTCCTGAATAGCTTTAGAATGATCTTGAGCTTTATCAGAAGTATAAAACTGTAGTATAAACTACAGGGTTCCCACTGGCGCAGATTGGCAGCCTCACTTCTGTCAGTCTGCCCCAGGGCAGCAGTGGCTACAACAGTTGTTTAACACCACCGGGTGTGGAGTGAATGAATATTGCTCTGTTAAGTGTCTTTGAGTGTCCAAAAAAACGCTATATAATACTTATGCAATATTATTTTCACTGACAAATTTCATTTAAAAATTTTTCCATGATTTTTCATGACCTAAAGTGAATTTTCCATGACTTTACAGCATTCTATATGTGTAGAATTGATCATGCTTATAGTGCTAAATATGAAACGTTAACTCTTGCCACTCACCTTATGGTTTTGTATTATAGTTTTTTTTAACATTCATGATACTGTCAGTGCATTTATTGTTGTCTTTTAAATAAAAGGCACATACGTTCGGAAATAAACATAATAGCCTAATGATAACTTAACAGAACGCTGTAATGAAAGATGCTAAAATTCCATGACTTTTCCAAAACTTTCATTGAGTTTTCACTTTCCATGACTTTTCCAGGATTTCCATGATCGTGAGAGCCCTGAAACTAGTAAACGCCCATAGACCTCTATGGAACCTACCTGGACAACTGAGGGGTTACACAGATATAAGGCCACAGGATAATATAAAAGCATTGATTTGTGTCGTGTTGTAAATCAGATTCTACTGCCTATAAAGAAATATACCGGAATTTCTCATGTGATAGCATTTAATATAAAATACATAAATAAAGCATCTGCAGGTGTCACCAGGAGCATGTGCACATTTCTGTATACATCTGTATGAGCAGTCCACGCACTCAAGCATCGAGTCACCAAAAATAGACTTTTGAAAATACACAAGTAACCATTCAGGACGAGTACTGTGTGGGCTGACCACAAGGGGGCTGTATTCCCAACAACGGAGGTTCGGTTCATGCCATGTAAAAGAAAACAAAATACGCTTATACGCTGATAAAAAGTCTCCCAGAATTACATGACAATTTACAGAACTTGAAGCATTTTGGTTTGGAAAAAATATCTGGCCTTGAATGATTGCACATAATGATTTCCCTACAATCATAAAACAGGATGTCTTACAATCTCACATTTAAAGGTGCAATGTGTAACTTTTCTAGTGGAGAGCTGTTGACCTGCCGTTTCCATGGAGATGTTAAAGCTTTGTAGCACAATACGACATGCTCCGTCTCGCCTGTATCCAACTTCGAGTGTTTTTATTGCAGCAAAAAACATTATAAACGAGTAACATCACCATGGAGACAAGTAGGTGGCAGCCCCTCGATCAGAAAGTTCCATAGTGCATCTTTAAATTCAAAGTCGAATAAGGTGAGAAGAGCAACGAGACGAGAGAAGGCCACGAGACAAAACATGAACACAACAGAGAAATTAGACTCAATTAGACAAGACACATTCATTAGAAAAAATATAGTGCCGCTTTGTAACCCACGACTCTCTGACGGAGGAAAACCGCACGACCGGTGGCTTCGTATTTGTTCTGCTGCACACAATGGCACAAAAAACATTAGCGGTGAGCAGTAAGCCACTTTCAAATTAAACATTATTATTAAAGCGATCACTCAGCGAAGGCAAAGATCGATATGTTCAAAGATTCTGGTAACACTACAAAAATACACTATAATTAGTCTTAATAAAGCTAGTTTGTTAAAGGGACAGTTCGGAATTTTGGACAATTTTGGACATTTCCTAGTTATTCCATGCGACCTCTGTAAAGACAAGGACTGGATGGAATATTTTAAAAAAGTGTCTCCACACGTCTCCAACATTCTGACTAACTCGGAAATGAGGTCCTACGTCCAAAATTCCGAATTGTTCCTTTAAGAATGATTCAGGTTTAATAAGTACTTAATTAATACTTTAACTTCTAACTCCTTAAAAATAAATATAAAATAGTTACTACGCCTGAATTAGGGCTGTGCCAAAATACTGATACACTACTACTACATTACTAGTATCACCAAATTTAGTATCACAATGGTTATCTTGGGCCACTGCATCAAAATCCCTTTTTTTTTGTATATTTCAGAAAATTATTGTATGACATTGGTACAGTTTTGTTGCTTGTTTAGAAAAAGTTTCAATTATTCAATGTTTTAACGAATAAGATGGGTGTATTTTAACTTTGCGCAGGTAAATATAAATGAAATATATCGATTACTTCATGTGTCGTCATATCAAAATGATCGTAAAGTGAGTTTAGTATCAAGCATCACATGGAATCTTGAGGGACCATGTGATTCCTGTGCCTGAATCATTCTTAAACCATTTGTTTATTATAATTATTTATGCTTTTAAGGCTAATTAAGCTGTAGTTATTATAACATGATACCAAGAATCTGCTCCCATCGTGTCCGTACGGCGTAGGTACACATTAGACCCATCTCAGCAGTACAGCGTGGTTCCCCATAGACATCATCTTCAGTAAAAACAGCATGGCAGCCAGAATCTGTGTGTTTGTTGTGATGGAAGTGTTCTTGTGCATCTGTGAGCGATATGTTGTTGTTGTTGTTGTTGTTGATAAAGTGTGTTTATGCCAGAGGGGTCTTGAACGCTCCCCAGGCGTGGAAGCAGCGCGTGAAGCAGTGAGGCTCGTTCCCCTTCCGCACCAGGCGCAGCTTCCTCGGGTGCTCCGTGTCCTTGGAGCGCATGTGCTGGATGTAGACCTAAGGAGGAAAAGAAAGATATGGGTTAGTTCAGCGTTTCTCATTTATCGGCAAAAGTCAAGCGGCTTATCAGCGTGAGAGGCGTGTAATGTCTTTTAGCAATGCCGTAATTTATTTGGCTTTATGTTGTCCGCTGCCAACATTTTTAGACACTCTCACAGTCCTGCACTGAGTCGCGTACCCGGCTGAAACAGGTGGGATTTAACGTTATGGAATTTTACGGGCGAGTATGCGGGCGGGTAGTGATTACCCACAGGCGGGTCAGGACTAAATCAGGACTACACCAGGTCTAAACCAGGACTACACCAGGACTACACCAGGTCTAAACCAGGTCTAAACCAGGACTACACCAGGACTACACCAGGACTAACACCAGGTCTAAACCAGGTCTAAACCAGGACTAAACCAGGACTACACCAGGACTACACCAGGACTACTCCAGGACTACACAAGGACTACACAAGGACTACACAAGGACTACACCAGGACTACGCCAGGTCTACGCCAGGTCTACGCCAGGTCTACGCCAGGTCTACGCCAGGACTACGCCAGGTCTACGCCAGGACTACGCCAGGACTACGCCAGGACTACGCCAGGACTACGCCAGGACTACGCCAGGACTAAACCAGGACTAAACCAGGACTACACCAGGACTAAACCAGGACTACACCAGGACTACACCAGGATTAATCTTGAATTTAAGAGAGAGAGAACCCCGAGGCCGCACAGCAGGGTGTCCACAGCGCGATTGGGCGACGGCTAGCGTTTAGTACCGTGGGGCGTGGTTCTCTGTACCGTTCCTTTTGCCCGCGGTCACCCAACAGTCTATGCGGGCGCACCTCTGAGCCCGTCCCAACAGTGACTCCTGGTTCAGTCCTGGTTCAGTCTGTGGCGTGTGCGGTGCAAAAGTGCAGCATCTCGATCAATGTTTCTTCTGCTCAGTAAATAATGCCTGTGAAGTGATGACAGTCGAGTCGCGTATTCGTAATGAAGAAATGAAGAAATCGTAACCGTTTCATTTCATTTCGTGATTGTAATTCCTGAAGACGTAACTTTTCAATTCGTGTTCTGATGGATGCTTCAATTAGAATGATTTTAATTTGTGTGTGATTTATAACAGGCATGGGCAGGTAACGGGTGGAATGTTAACGGGTGCGGGCGGGTGCGGTGCTGTTCTGCGTGGGTGCGGGCGGGTGCGGCTCTCCAAAAATGGACCAATGCAGGACTCTGACTGGTCTTTCCTCGTTTCCCACCATAGTCACAGTGAAGCCGAGTGCTACATACACTTAAGAAAAAAAAATAAAAATAGAAACGTCTCACCTGGCAAGCTTTGAGACTGAGTTTGATCTCCACTTGGCTTGTCTGTGTACCGACCCACATGTATACCTAAAAAACAAATAAAAAAACACAAAGTATAAGCCCCATAGTGTAAAATACATACTGCAGTGTTTCCCATTAATATAAACTCTGTCAACACTTGCCATTTTACCTAGTGACAATACTTTTTACAGTAAATAACTTAAATGTTTAATCTGTCAGAAAGTTGCTTCCTTCACATAAATACTTCCTGAATTTTAATAGAATTTTGGGTCATGACGACATAGATAAAGGAAGTCCGTTTTACAAGTGATACTTCCTGTAATTTTGACAACTATATTACCACATGCACTATGTTCCACTGTGATAAGTTATAAAAGCTTTATGGTTGACAGGATGAAACAATTTGAACCTTTGTGCACTTCCTCCTCAGACAGAATTTAGTTTTTCTCATTTTTTGGGTCTATTCTTTGAACATACCAGATTTTATTCATTGTTTAATGTTTAATCCTTCCAATTACATTCAAACGTCAAATTATAAATAACAATTACACGTGAAGTTAATCTTACTCGTGTAGTAGTTTTCTCAAATCCTTTGTTGGTAATTTATTGGACCATTACCTTATACTTAAGTAAGAGTAACGTTACTTCAAAATAAAATTGCTCTAGTTAAAGTATATTTTTGGCTGCTCTACCCATCTCTTCTTCCAGGATTAAATAGCAACATAAATGCTGAACAACTTGTCTGAGATAAAACTACTAAAATGAAAGTTCTTGCCACAAAGAACTGAAATAGGCTCAAACTATTTCAGTACCTCTTTCCCGTTGTCCAGCAGCATGATGTCATCGTCTGCCAAGTCGTCCTGACAGAAATCTGAACACTTCTCAGATACAGAGAAATAACCCTTTTCATTGGAGCACCTGGAAGATCATAGTAATGTTAAAGCTATGAGTCAATTTAGAGTTTTTTTTTGTGAGGAAATCGCTGGAGTGAGAGCTCACCTAAAGAGTCTGGCGTATTTCATATAATCTGCGTCTTCGTCGTATTCCTTCTGGGATCCGATGCCGACCCAGAAGAAGTTCTCGGGTTCCTCCCCTTCATTGATTACCTTACAAAGACATTAAAAAGGTCAAATTAGCTGGCATAATAACTCACTCTAACATGTACACACAAAGGAATAATCTTTATTCCTTTTAAAAATATGTATCAAACATGTAAAGTAACCAAAAATTAAAGAAAATAAAAAGAAAATGATCATTAACAGAAACTTCAAGGTGGGAAATTGATTCATTTTGGAGGGAAACTTAAACATCACAAAACGTATCAGTCCATTTAAGCATATTTATGATGGATTGCTGAAATATTGTCTGGATATTGCCATCAGAGTAATGCTAAAAATCTATTCAAACGTTTGTCAATATCGCCCACCTCTAATCAAAACTATATCTTAGCGTACCTGTTTACTGTACGTATCGTCAAACATGCTGTTCATGATGTCCTCTGCCAGTTTAGCCTCGTCTGGGTCTGCAGCTCTGCCCACCCACGTGTAAACAATACCCTGATTGTCTGTGCTCTCAAATGGTACCTGCACACAGCAACAAAGCATTTATCAAACAAATATACAACATGAAACATTCAGCCTTTCACGAGAATTACTATATTAGCTTATCTTTCAGTATTAACACTTGATGCATCAGCAAACACTGCCAAAAAAGTTTTAGATAGTCTGAAAACTCAAGAAAAAATACAAAATGAATTTAAACAACAGATTTTCAGGAGCCTGTGAACAATGCGAGTGTTTGCGGTCCTGTTCAGGTCTTTGATTTTCAACAAAAAAGGTGAGTGACTTGAGCGAGAGAGACTTGTTTAACACTATAATCATCTCACCTTCCCGTTATAGTTCCAACTAAGTCACTTCTTTATGGTCAGATTGTGTTGAAATAAAGCTCAGATTAAAGTCTCTAAAGCTTCAGACAAAGCAGAACCTACAGTAAGCATCACACCCCAGGGAATGTTAATGACTTCAGCTGCACAATATTTATCATCAGTACTTTTTCTTTGTACTAAAGGGGGATATTTGTTATTTTTCTATGCTACAATAAGATTTGAGCTGGAGTGGGTTGGACAAATAACTTCTATGACTCATTTTAAAGGCAAATTAACTAGAGCAGGGATCTCCAGCCTTTTTTCCTCCAGTGAGCTACTTTATAGATCAAAAAAGGTCAGAGAGCTACTAATTTTAGTGCTTGCAAGAAATTTAGTACATATAAGAGCCAAAGCAAGCCTTGGATGGCGAACAGTTAAATGTCTGTAAAATATAAACTATTATCCACGTATTAATGCACAAAGTCAGGCATCAAAATAACACATTTAGAACAATAATTAATTGAATTTTAGTTTTTCAACGAAATACACATATTGTAAATCATAAAGCCCTTGGCAAGCTACTTTGAAGGGGAGAGGGGAGAGCTACAGGCTGGAGACTCCTGAACTAGTGTGAGTGTTTCATTTTGCTATGTATTTATTGCAGCTCATGTTTTATGTACAAGTAGAATACAGGGTTCCCAGAGTCATGGAAATCCTGGAAACGTCATGGAAATCGAAAATGCCATCGTTAAGTTATTATTAGGCTATTATGATTATTTCTGAATGTTTGCGCCTTTTGTTTAAAAGAGATGACAATAAATGCACTGACAGGATTTTTAATGTTAAAAAAACTATAATACCAAACCATAAGGTGAGAGGAAAGGGTTAACATTTCATATTTAGCCCTAAAAGTATCATCAATTCTATGCATGAAGGTGAAAAATTCATGGAAAAGTTTTGAAATTCTGGCAGTGAAAAGGCGTGGGAACTCTGAGAATATTTATTTTGTGCCTAGTTCTGCTTTAGGGTGGTTGTGTCAGAGGCATAAATTAGTTTCAGTCTTATCATTTATGGTCTACATTTCCTTCAACAATATATGGCACAGGAAAATTTGTGATCGTGACAGGCCTATTAATAATAAAATAACGATGTGTGTGAAGTCCAACCTTGAGAATGAAGCAAAACTCTGAGTTGAGATTACTTGAGTCTGTCCCAATCTGAATAGTTCTAGAAAAGTAGAAAAAAAAAAGATTCATTTGAACTTTACTCTGTTAATGATGCTTTGTGATAGTGTGCATTGGTAAAAACTATAATCTAACCTGGTGCAAAGTGCGCTGCCGTTGGTGCGGATGTGGTACAGAGAAGGCTGAGCCGAGTCGATCTTCTGTTTCCTTTTGCCTTTGTGGATGATGAACTTTCTTTTAAAGTGAGACAGGAACTTGAGGTTTTCCTGCTGCTGGGTCATCCTCACCACCTAAACAGCAGAATCCACAGATCAATTACGACAGGTTCCATCCACAAGGGCCAGAACAATGAAAAATTAGGACTGTTGACATAGTGATTAATAATTTATAGTGGAATTAAACACTGAATCTAATCATTTTTTGATAATATTAGGGCAAACTAGGTAAATTTGAAGCTTTCTGGTCAAAAACAGTCTGCTATTTCAAGTACTATGTGACAAAACGCAGAACTGCCCTGATTACAGTCTGGTCTTTCAGATTACAAACAGCAAGCAGCAGGGATGGAGTTTGAAGTGTGGATACCTGTTAGACTAATCACACCTGCTCACTCTTTTCTTTTACTCCTCCTGGTACTGCCCATTTTATCAGTTCTATCTGAAATCAACCAAAAACACAATAAATATACTTTACCTTTAACTTTCCAGGGAAGAGGCTCTCAAACTTCTTCTGCAGGGAGAAGGTGAAGGTGAGCCAGCCCATGTTGGAGGCCTGTCTGCCCTGCCAGAAGTACACCACACACTGGAAGTCTTCCTCAGGCTGCTTATCCTCCTCCTCTTCTTCACCTCCTGCACCTGCACCTGTGCCCTCTCCCTCTCCCTCCTTCTTCTCCTTGTCCTTCTCATCCTCCTCGTACTCAACTGGGACCCAATATCTACGGAGACAAATATTACACAACCATTATTTTCTGTAAACATAAACATGACCTGAGGGAAATACAGCTCTTTGAAGCGATTTCACTTAACGGCGTTCTACACTCTTACCTGCACAGGAACACATAGCAGTCCTGTGTGAAGAAGTGACCAAACTCCTCCTCTGGCAGACGTGCAAACTTCTTTCCCTCCAGCACAAAGCCCTCCATTCCATCCAGGTCCTCGTTCCACTCCTCCATCAACTGCTCCGCCTGCACACAGCAATGTACAGTATAGTGAAGCAAGATGTACCAAGAAAAGGCTAAAAATAAAGACTGCGGTGATGTTACCTCAGTGAGTGGCATGGGTGGTTGTCTGGGGAGGAACAGAGCTGTGAGGTCGGCTTTCATCTGATCCTTCTGCTCCGCATCCTTTTTCACCTAAGCAAAGACATAACATTTATGAAATACTAACATTTTTGAATTTTACACTGAAATAGTCAGCAAAATACTAGCACTGGCCATATTTACATGCTCAAAATCTCTTTATTATCTGATTTTTTGAGTTTAATTGCAGTTCTTCCTGATTGTGCACTTTGTGAAAGAAAAAATGAAGGAAAATGAAAAGATTGAAAGAGTTTGTACTTTGTCTTCCAAATACAAAAGTACTGCTAAAAATTTGCTAATTAACTTGCACAGGGTTAGAGTCACCAGGGTTAGGGTTGTTTTGGATAAACACAATAATAATCAGATCTAATTACTGGCCAATCTGATATTTACTGTCCACATAAATGTACTCACTGAACACTGAACATCACTGAACATGTATTTTGTAACAGCAGAACCAGGTGCATCTTAACTGACCTTGCCCTGCAGGTTGTCTTTCTGTTGGACTGTTTCTGCTGCTCTGGTGTAATCCACCTTCAGCACGTCGTCCCAGTTCTTGAACTTAGACTTAAACACCTATAAAACATTTAAATTAGTACAATTTGAAACCTATAACCCTCTGCACTTGTCTTGCCGTGTACACAGTAGCAGTACCTGGGTCTCTGTGCCCTCGAGGTTGCGTGTGACACAGGCGTGCTTAGGCCGGTGGAGCATAGAGCAGATCTCCTGACCCAGTTTTAAGGCGGCAGCTCTGACCAGGCGCGGAGACTTCCTCCCAATCCAGATGAACACATCAGACCAACAGTCCAGAATGTACACGCACTTTGTGTCCAGCAAAGACTGCAGCTACACAGAGAGAGAGGGGGGGAGTACAATGAGCCAGGCTATTAAAACATGTGAAAGGAAAAGTGACATTTTTCTAACCTATAACAATAATAATACATTTAAAATAATATCTAACTTCGTAAGTAATGTGAAGAGCATATATAGTTTAATTTGTATACATCGTGCTATCTTAATTCTGAATTTTTGCCTCTAAGGGGATGTAAGTGCTTTGCCTGAAATGGTTGAGTATGTCATTAAACTTATATATCTCCATGGAGGCATGCAGGAGACAAATTTCAGGTAAAATGTTTGAGCAATAAAAACAACTGTAATTGAATAAATACAATACAGATATGTTTAATGCTGTACTGTGGACCATTTTAAGCATAATAATAACATTTCCAGGGTGACAAGCAGAAATGTTAAACTCTGTTATAACAAATGTACATACCAGTCTAAGCTCAGGTAAAGTGTCTAGTTTGACTTTGTGGTCTTTGTGTTCAACAGACAGCTTGTAGTTGATCTGTGGCAGCTCCAAGTATCCAAGCCCAAGACCCACCTACAAAAAAAATTAACGAAATGAAAAAGGCCAAAACATATATTTATTATAAAGTAAAAACTGATTGATTACCTTGTAGAGTTTGGGTCTCATGGAAGAGAAATCATCTGGTACGTGTTTCTTGATCTCCTCTGGTTGTCCTCCCATCACCTCCCAGAAGTTTGGGGGCTCCTGGTTCTGCATCAGAGTGATGATCTCAGCTTTGCCCTTGCGCTCGTTTTTATTAATCTTCTCTGCAAATAACCTGAGGGGTGAGCAGAGGGATTTAGATGGAGAGTTAGGTTAATGCTTTGTTATGGAAACTCCACAGTGGAAGGAATGTGAGATTGCTCTGTGGTCTGATTTGCAACTTGCCTCGCTTTTGTAGTGCCGCTAAGTGTAGCATTGGCCCCTCTCCAGACGAAGATCTCTAGTCCAGTGTCCAACAAGAAGACAAAGCTGAAAAGAAATCAAATATATATATTTAAAAAGTGCTTTAAATATGAGTTTAAAAAGGTATATATATTATAAGAAATGAAAGATTGTGTGACAGTTAGAGATGCGCGGATTGCGGTTACAACCGTGGTATCCGCGGTTAATCCGCGGTTAATCCGCGGGTCGGGCGGATGACGTGACGAAAAATTATATTTTAATTAAATTCGGGCGGGTGGCGGATTCACTACTCAAATAAAAAACTTTGAACTCGGAGCAAATGGGAGGAGACCGAGCGGATGGCGGGCAGGTGCTGTTTTGAAAAACTGTGGTTGCAAATGGATAGCGGGCGGATGATGAGTTTTGCGATGCGGTTGCGGATGAAAAAGTAGCCCATCCGCGCATCTCTAGTGACAGTGCAACAATTACCGAGGATCAAGCGAGGAACCCTTGGCAGGAACAGACTCCAATTTGATGTTTTTCTTGCCATAAACGCGATACAACCTTTTAGAAGATAGAAAATAGATGTATTAGAGGATGCATTAATTGCTAATACATTACATATTTAGATCACCATGTTATCATTTTGTTAAAATGCTAAATTCGTTGAAAAAATAAAATAAAATAAATAAATAAAAAATAGTATCAGATGACAACTACTATTGCTACTGCACATTGCATCAGGTTTGTGAAGTTGTACACAGTTTTGTATATTTATGAAAAACTGGAGTATGGGAGCATGCATTATATACACTTGTGAGGATTGTACTACAAAGTTAAATTACTCAAACATGCATGGATGACATATAAAACCTCTCCAGTCATGTTTTTGATAAAGGAACATCAATAGAACATGGTAGAAAGCTTTAAAAAGTCATAAAAAGTCAATTTTGTATAATATCCCCTCTTTAAAACAAATTTATAATATCCCTTCTTCACATGTTAATTAAGTATTACCTGACTGTATAATGTGTATCCTCCACGGTGAAGAATCCACTCGCTGTCCCTCCCTCAATGTACGATATCTCATTATGAAACACCTACAAAAAAAAATCTTTAATGATAAATTCTATGGAGTATTTATACATTTTTCGCATTAGTTGTACATACAGCGCTGAACTCCTCGCTCTCGTCCCCCATCTCCTCTCTTATTGTCCGACATTCTGCTCCGAGGAAGTTTCTCAAGTTGACCGCGTGGATAGCGGCTCCGGCCTTTTTGTCCAGAGTGGATTCCTGACCGATCCAATAATAGATGTGCCAATTCAGTGCCCCGTTATCGTCCAGGAAGGTCTATAAATACACGAAAAACAGACAGTATAAATACCCATGTTAAATGTATCCAAAATTCTAACAGTGTAGAACAGTGTTTCTCAAACTGGTGGTACACAAGCTCCTTTAGTTGGAACTTTGACCACTCTTCAGTTTGTGAGTTTGCCTAATTTGGAGTTAATATTATCTACTTTTTTGTCTGCCTTTGGATAATTTCTTATTTAGGGCTACAATAAATTAGTAAATTTTTAGAAGATTTGGCCCAAGGTTAGACCTGGTGTAGGCCTGGTGGTACACGAAAAGCCAAATATTTTCTTCTATAGTACTTAGTGTGAAAGGTTTGAGACAGTCTCGTGTAGAATAACAGATACCTTGAGAACAATATAGCAGTCGGCTTCATAGAATTTGCCGTGGAACGTTTCGTCGACCTGAATAGGGATGAAGTTCTCAATCTGCCACACTGATACGCCAGGAATCTAGAGGAAAACAAGAAAGTAAAATAACAAAAAAATAAATACTAGTAATCTCCACTAGGGCACTTGGGATTACCTGTCCCACATCCTCCAGAAAGAACTCAGAATAGTCCAACTGGGGCTTCTCCAAACTCTGGTCCCAGCGGCGGATTTTCAGGTCGGCGTATTTGAGATCTCCGTTCTCCTCCATGTTCTTTTTCTCCTGTGCCACGTCACTCATGCCTTTCAACACCTGTTTGGCTTGGTCGTCTTGGGAATTGTCCTTTCTTCTTCTTAACCTCATCTTTCTTGCCAAGTGATCTCGCGGACTTGCTCCTGGATAAAATAATATGTTTGAAATTACAATAAGACTTCTAGTTGCTTTCTAGTTCTTCGATTAATTGCATTAGATAGTATTGTATGGAATTGTAAGTTTTCTCAGACACTATATAGTAGGATTGTCAAAAATACCCAAAATCAGACATTAGAAAGATCTTGAGCTGTATCAGAACAAGTATAAGACCACATAAACTAGTAATATAAAGAAAGTATTATCATTTAATGTTGAAAATCACATTCTATTGCCAAAAGAAAAAGTTTTTAATTATCATTGTGGTGTCGGAAGAGGAATCCTTAGTATCAAAATTTGCTTGAATTTTTTGTATCGTGACAACACTACAACACAGAAATGTCACATAGATTATTTTTAAACTGTAACATGAAAAAATAAAATAAAATAATTAGTCCTCATGCCCACCTCCCCCGGCAGCTGCCACAGTAGCAGGTGAAGCTCCAGCCAGACGGAGCTGGTTCTGCAGGGAGAAGTCAATATTGTACCACTCTGCTCCCCGATCCACTGGTTTGGGTGGCATCACTAGATTTGGATTTTCTCGCACATCCAGAACCTAAAATAAGATAAAATAAATAAAGATAAATAAATAAAAATACACTATTTATATTATGTTGTATAAGAATAAATACTGTAGATTGCTGCTGTACCTCCAAATCGGTCAAAAAGTGAATGGCTTCTGGCAGTGTTACCAGACGATTTTTATTAAGAACCAATTTCTTCAGCTTTCCGCACCTGAACAATGGAAAAACAATACAGATTAATCCATTTCAGGCAAATATGTTGTCAGTATAATGATACTGTATTTAGTCCTGACCTGCAGAGGCCTTCAGGAATAAGCTCCAAGTTGTTGTTGGCTGCCATGAACTCTGTGAGACTGGACAGTTTGCCCACACCAGGAGGGACACCATCAAAGTCCAGCTTGTTTGAGTTTACATACAGTTTCTTGAGCTTGGCCAATTTACAGATGGCTGACTGGATTAAAAAACACAAAAAGAATGTCATAAAAAAGGCTACAGGATTTATATCAATATAATAGGTCAATACAAAAGCACGTACTGGCAGAGAGGTGAGCTGGTTGCGACTCAGGTTGAGAGTTTCTAGCTGTGTCCACTGGTCGATGCAAAGAGAGAGCTCAGAAATTTGGTTACTGCTTAAGTTGAGTCTTTTCAAACTGCCCAGAGAATAGAGGCACTCCGGCACCCGGGTCAGGTCATTACACGACAGGTCAACATCTGAGGAAAAGTAGTGCAATATTGACACTCAAGACAGTGTTCTGGTGAGATAATTAGAAAAATATAAGACATTACCGTATATATTAGTGAGCTTTTTAAGGTATCAGTAAATTAAATTGCATGTTTTTAATTGTCCTTTAAAAGCTGGGATATCAAGATGTTATGTTATGTATTTTGGATCAAATATTTACCATATTGGATATATGTTTGCACAAATTATATAATTTAGTTTTAAATATTGAATTTCTGTGTTGAATCGTAATCTTACATGCCAAAGCACACTATAAAGTCAGTCAAAAAGTACAAGTGACCTTTCATTATGTACTTAAACATACAAAGAGGAATGAACTTTGAACTTTGCATGCTTCTGTCTTACGTTATTATTAATATTGTTTTATTCAGAAAATAAACAGCCACTTATTTCACTTATAAACACATCAAACATATTACCTGCTAAATGCGTCAGGGCCTCCAGGCTGGTTGGCATATTGCTCTGTGTCCTCTGGGTGTTCCGCAAGTGTAGAGTCTGTAGCGCCACCATGGCCGGCAACTGTCTGCTCGCACAAATATATTCCCACACTGTAACCAACAAAACCTATACCAGCATAACATGTCTGGAGCACTTTTTCATACCGTAGCTGTGCATGCATGAGGGGGTTGTTGTTCAGGATGAGTGTCTGCAGATGCACCAGGCGTCTCATCTGAGGAGGCAGGCTGTCCAGCTTGTTGTCGCTCAGGTCTAGATAGAGGAGGTCTGTCAGGTTGATGAACAGCTGATTGGGGATAGAGTCGATGCTGTTGTGGCTTAAATTCAGAACCAGCATGTTCCTGCTGTTCTCCAGGTCTCGGGGGATCTCTGTCAGCTGATTAAAGCTCAGATCCTTCAGGGGAAAGATATTGTGTAAATTATATTAGACAGAAATATGAGTGATTATTATTATTATTATTATATTTTTTTGTAGATTTTTACATACCAGCACAGAGAGGTCATCGAGTTGGAAGATGTCATCCGGGACACCAGAGTTTTTCAAGTTGTTCGCTCGAGCCACCACCGCCTGTAGTAACATAAATTGTTTAGGAGACCAATATACAAATGTGAATTGACAACAAAATGTAAATGGAAAAATAGAATTCACAATACCCTTAAGTTTGGCAAGCCGGACAGTTCCCCGTGTAACGTGGTGAGGCTGTTGTGACTCACTGAAAGGTGCTCCTTAATATCAGAGAAGACATATGTTAAGTTAAATAGTATCTGGGGACATATGATTGTTTTTAGTGTTATCATGATAGATTGATACTGCATCAGATATTCAATTTCAAAATTCTGATATAGTCCTATTATAAACAATCTCCTTTACGATCTCAAAAATACAGTGATTATTCCTATAGTTAATTTCTAAAGCACTGTAAAAACATGTTGCAGCCTTGTATTCCTTCTGATGTAAATCAGAAGAATTCTCAATTCAGAATTCTCAAACTATTCCGGAAATATCTAAAAAAAAATTATTTTTTTTTCAGATAACCATTCTCAAATGAGTATGTAGTTTAAATTATTTGGTATTACTTGAGTCTGGGTATCTAATTTCTAAAAACTTTACTTTCACAGTGTGTTGATGTCATACTTTCAGATGTGGTGCAAGTAGTAACAAGCAACAAAATTCTGCATTTTAATAGTTCATTTTAGTTGTCCCCCATCTGTATTAAACCGTATTGGTCCATAGAATAATAGATATGATGAGGACAACCCATGATAACAGAATAATCCCATTTAGAAGCACTGATGCTCTTTCTGCGCATGAGATAATCCCATCACTCCTGTAAATCATTGGTAGCCGACAGAGAAGATATTCTTCATCTTCCTCCACAGAACTCCCAGTCTCTGTGGCTCACCACACACTTACCAGCTTCTGCAGAGAGGCCAGCTCTTCTGGGAGGTAACACAGTCCTGTTCTGTTGAGCTTCAGCCATCGCAGACTGCTCATACTTTTGACATGTTCAGGGAAATAACCACCCTATAAAAGGCAAAAATGATAAGTTAAGAATTCACTATCAGTATCGAACAACAAAATCAAAATGACTTCATTGACTGTTGTTGTTATTCTGAGAAACAGCTCAGATGGGCAGGACATAGTTCACAATGTTATTTTCAGCGCAATGGATTTTTCTTATTTACTTTTGTTGCTCAATAGCATCATTACTAGTAGGAGCCAGGAGACACAGTAAGTTGATTACTCATAAAAAGTAACTTCATTTGCCTCCACTGTAAAACTGGATCATGATGTAAGCTGACAAATTGTTCAGTGGCACAGACAGAACACACCCAAATGGCCCCAGCTGTCATTGTTGTTCTGAACGCTGTTGTGTGAAGTAAAACCAAGCACTAAAAGTACAACGAGAGCTCACAAAAGAGTAATACAGGTAATAGACCATTATTACAGTGTCATGTTTGTTATTCATCATGATTTACAGCTTGGTCAGAGTTAAAACGTGATCTTTGAAAAGTTGGGCAACATACAAGTCTCGTATTCGCTTCACCACTGTAGTCAGAATGGTGTACGATTTAACTATTTATATTATGAAGCAAAAAGGCGATTTCAACATCAACTGAACTTGGCTCCCACTTCACAATTTGACAACCTACCAGCTAACGCCCAATGCTAGTCATGAGCTAAGCTAGCTAGTGTTTTGGTTTTGTTATCTTGTTCATATTACGAGTGAACAGTTAACTTTAGCTTAGGCTAGGTGTGTGGTATAAACAAAACATGAAGGATTAATAGCAGGAATATAAAAAAATACCTTAAAGTCATTTCCACTCAGGTCTACCCCCCTGATAAAGGGAAGGACTCCGGTGGCAGCCATTTCTCCAGCACCAAGACGTCAGCTGCTCTCGGGCTATTTTGGTCCAGTGCACAAGCCTACCGCGGCAGGGTGCTGTGCGGCTGCTAGAGCACGGATTACACCGATCACACCGATCACACCCACACCAGCCTGAGAGCAGATCTTCTTCTGTCTGCAGACACGTTTGAGATGCAACACTGCCACCTCCCGCTTTGGAATAAGAGAAAAGGCAAGGAAATTGTGTCTTCGGACGCCCCCCAGTGGTGGACAATGTGTGTGCACAACTACAAGACACCGGCTATATATGATATTATTATTATTATTGTCAGTGTTGGGGAGTAACAGATTACATGTACCGGAGTTACGTAAGCAGAGTACAAATTATGAGTAACTGTATTCAGTTACAGTTACTGTTTCAGTGAGTGGTAATTGGATTACAGTTACTTTAGTTGAAATAAATGGATTACACGGCAGTATTTTCCTGTTTTCACATTTTGGGCTATATCCCCCTTTATTTTTAATTTTTTTTTTAATTTTTAGTAATTCCACTCATTGCCGAAAACTAAACCAGGTCTAAACTAGATCTTAACCAGATCTAAACTAGATCTAAACCAGGTCTAAACTAGATCTAAACCAGGTCTAAACCAGGTCTACAGTAAAACCAGGTCTAAACCTGGACAAAACCAGGACTAAAACCAGGTCTAAACTAGAGCTAAACTACGTCTAAAACCAGGTCTAAAACCAGGTCTAAACCAGGACTAAATCAGAACAAAAACAGGACTAAAACAAAAACAGGACTAAAACAAGATTAAAACAGGACTAAAACAGGACTAAAACAGGACTAAATCATGCTGCATGGACGTGTCTCCTCCTCTTCTATCAATAATATTTTTAATACAGTTCATAAAGTCTGGACTTTTTATTTTCTTTTAGCAGACAAAACTTCTTATCTTACGATATCCTAGTCTTTGCTTCTCTACAGCAAATCAAGTAATCCAAAGTATTCAGATTACGTTCTTCACCTAAAGTAATTTAATGGATTCTGTTACAAACTACATTTTGGGGTGTGTAATCTGTCTAATGTTGTCTGTAGGGGAATACATTTTAAAAGTAACTTTCCCAACACTGATTATTGTATTGTATTATTGTGACTATTTGTCAAATACAAGTAACAAACAAAAGCGGTGAGCAAACTCAGAACTAAACGTAACTCAAATAATCACCTTTGGGCACCGTGGGTATGTAGTTTATGCAGTACAAATCAATGTCTATGACCAGAGCTGAATTTCCAAGATTTATTTTCCAGTTTAGGCAAGCAACAAGGGATACATGTTGAAGGCCTACTCCTGCTGCCTCACCTCTCGACTGGTAAAAACCATAGGCCCACCCAGGTGCACACTGGCTACTTGTCCTACCCTCCTTTATCCCCTAGGTGACCCAAATTAAATCAAAAACAAAAAAGGTGCTAACGTAAATAATACCAACTAAGACTAAGAAATTAGCAAGAATAATTTTAACATAGCAAAAATATCTTATGCAAATAAAAAAAAACTAAATGAGTAAACTAATTAACAAACAAAAATAATAAACTATTTTTAGAATCAACAAAATAAGCAATAGCTCCTACAATTATCATTATCATTATTATTATTATTTATTTATTTTATTATAGATCCATGCTGCTGCCCTGTTTCACTTCATAGAAACCTCACAGCGTTAGAATTCGTTCGCTCAACGGTTGGCGGGTACTTTTTAAAATTTAACCAATCGCTGCTATTTGGTCGTGACGTATGTAATGCGGTGCTAACAGGGCTAACAGGTATATTAAGCTTTTCCCAAATCCCATAGGCATAGGCATAGAGCAATAGCGTCTTTCCCCAGGTGCCAGGGTTTGGATTTAATGAACGCAACTTTAACACTTTTACTTTAGTCTTTACACACCATGTGCCAGAGTGGCCTGAGTCTGCGCACGACACGAAGCCTACTGTTCGAACCTGACCAGAACCCTAAATTTTCCCTACATTTTTGACATTCACAGACAGTCTGGCGCAATAATAGTTTTGCTTCAGGTGCTTTGTGGAGTGGGTAAGACTGTTTTTAGTGGCAGGATAACTATGGCCATTGACATGCACTAGCCTAGCACCAGCGACCTCTGCAAATACAAGAACTGGATGGAATATTTAAAAAAGTGTCTCCACACGTCTCCAACACTCTGGATCACTAGGTAATGAGGTCCTATGTCCAAAATTCCAGACTGTCCCTTTAACATTCAAAATACTGTCAGTGCATTTATTGTCCTCTCTTTTAAACAAAAGGAGCAGACGTTAGAAAATAATCAAAAAAGCCTATTGATAACTTAACAGAACGTTGTAGAAAGAGATACAAAAATTCCATGAATTTTCCAGGCCTGGAAAATTAAATTTTCAATTTCCATGCCTTTTCCAGTATTTCCATGACTGTGGAAACCCTGATTTTTGATGAGGAACAATATTATAACATGGTAGAAAGCTCAAAATGGACTAGAAGTGGATTTTGCATAGCCCTTCTTAATAAATACCAGACCAAGCAAACCTTTCCATAAAGAAAGCCAGTTGGCATGTCCTCCACCAGAAGAATTACGCTATGCACCTTTAATTCCTAAACTGAGATCCAGTTAGTTAGTTTTAATATGGATTTGCCAGTTTTTTAGCTAATCAACATTGGCTGAAAAACAAGCAGAAATCCAGATAGCAAAAAGCCTTGAAAAGCACCAACACATGATAATTTCCACACTTCCATTGTCCACAACAGGATAATTCTGTTCCAAGGCCAGTGCTAATTTCCCGTTTTAACCACTACATGTTGATTATGGGTTGAAAAAGACTACCTAATTTCTGCCAGTATGACAGACAGGAAAATTACACATAATACCAAAACGTTATTTAAGCCAACACATGTTCCACAGATGCAAATATACACGATAATTAGTCGTACACAATTAATTCATTATGGCCGTCCAGTCTATATGAACATGTTAGTATTAATTTGCTAGGATTAAAAGGGATGAGATGTAGCCTACGCCTTGGGACAGCCACTATCTTACATGGCTAATTAAAATTGTACGTCTTTCATGGTATTAGGTCGTGATGATATATATACCTTTAGTCAAAGAGTAATGATACATTATTTTTTTGTATTTTCTTTAGGGTGAGTGTCTTGCTGCTGGTTCACATGCATCCCCAAAGGCTACAGTGGAAAGATGAAGGCTCAAGCCATTAACCATCTCATCAGAGATTTGCAGGTATGTCATGAAATGGTTAAATGTAGAACTGAAATATAACCTCACCAATAATTTTGTAACTGACTAACTGAATTTTATATATGTGCTAAGTAGTTGTAATTTTTGCCTTAATCTCAGTCTGTTTTCATGATTAATGGCATTTAGGTGTTTTGGTTCTTGTGGGTCTTGCATTTAAAAATGATCTTTTCTAAGGGGCTAAATTTTTTTCAAATTACCCTTCAAGTTATTTATTTGAATGATTCCTGTATACAAAAACATACAGCTGATGCAACAGAAAAACCTTGTTAATAGGAACAAACAAATAATGATATATGCACCGTAATATATTTACTATACATTTACTTTTTAATTTTTAAATATTGCATAGCCCGTTTTGCAAGGTGGTTACTTGAATATGCTATATTTATTCTATATTTAATTTTACAGATCGGTATGGACAGATTTCTTGCTGGTTGAGCCTGTACGGCCTTTCTACCTGTGACTGAAGTGGGACTGAATTTGGTGAACACTTCAAGGCACTTGAAGTAACTTGAAGTAATTCTCTGTTCTAGACAATCTAAAAACAGGGTGTAAGTTTACAAATGTGTGCATTGTGCCACCACGGCTGAACATTTTGCCATACACATACATGCTACTGTTACTTTTATGAGGTATTAACTGTGAAAACATAACACAACATATTTAGATCACCATGTTACCTTTTATCGTTGGTTATATTCATCAAAAATAACACGTTCACTTTTTTTAAAATTTTATTTATGTTTTTGTTTTTTGATGCACTGAGTCCTGCCTGTCTTTGCCCCTTCAGAGTGCTTTTACAACACCGGAGAAATAAATAATTCACAAAATCTACCTGACCAATTTACTCATAGCCACATTAGGAAATCGAAACATTGCATCTTTTGCCATAGTGAAGAAGAATCCATCCCCCACCTCTTTTACCACTGTAAATACTCAAAGGAACTATGATTAAATTTAGAAATGCTTATCCAAGAAAAAACAGAATGTCAAAATTCATCTGAACTGCTCAAGCATAATAACCTATTTCCATCATAAACAATATAAAATTCAATATTTAGTAAACCTCTTCATTCTGTTTGGGAAATTTCACATCCGTAAGTCCAAATTCTCCCATTCCAGACCCCTGTTCAAAATCCTTACACTAGACATCCGAAACTATCTTCAAACACTGGAAACTATTTCTAATATTAAATCTATTAAAACACTAACAATTATAGAAGAATTAGGAATTTATTTTTAGCCACTTCCTCAGTTTCTTGTATTGATTGATTGATTGAGTTATTTATTTATTTATTTATTTATTTGTATGCATTATCTGCCTCAATTTAAGTTTACATGTATGTCAACTTTGTTTTTGACTTGTTTTGGTTTTAATCTATATGTTTATGTGTGTGTTTGTTTGTTTCTTTCTTTCTCTTCACCGTCCACTCCTGCCATAACTGTGAACTGGACTTTGTATTGATGCAACAACAATCCCACCTGCACTTTATACTGGGTATACCTTTGTTGTTTTGTTACTGTAATAAAAAAAGTAAAAAACAAACAAACAAACAAACAAAAAAAACCCCAGAGAAATACAGCTAAAATACATGCTTCAAACATGCTTGGATGGCGTCTAAAACCTCTTCAGGCATGTTTTTGTTGAGGGAACAACGTTGTAAGATGGTACAGCTCCACAAGTATATAATACCTTTTTTTTTTAAGTACCTCCTTTCTTATCCTGGCCTCCATGTTGCTATTACACGACAACTACCATGGGAACATGGAGCTTATGGAGCGCCCCTGCATTAAACTACGTCTCAAATAGCTTCAGCTGTTTTAGAGATCGTTACCAGTCTGAGTTCATCTACTTGCTGCCTGGACATGTTACCCACTAGATTTCTAAAGTCTGTCCTCAACAGTTTACTTTCACCACTCACTCACATAGTGAACATGTCACTTCAATCTGGAACATTCCCAAACGCGTTGAAAACTGCGGTCATTAAGCCTCTCCTAAAGAAGAGCAGTCTTGATGCCACAGTACTGAACAATTTCCGACCCATCTCAAATCTGCCGTTTTTTTGGCAAAGTCCTTGAAAAAGCTGTTTACCAACAGCTTACGAACTTTCTCCAAATGAACAACTCCTTTGATGTTTTCCAGTCAGGTTTTAGAGCCCACCACAGCACTGAGACTGCTCTTATCAAGGTGACAAATGACATCCGCCTGAACACTGATGCAGGCAAAGTCTCAGTCTTGATCCTGTTAGATCTTAGTGCTGATTTGACACTGTCGATCATGGGATCCTCTTACAGAGACTAGAGGACTGGGTGGGCATCTCTGGTACTGTACTAAACTGGTTCAAGTCCTATCTAGAAGACAGGAAGTATTTTGTTGAAATTGGAAACTGTGTCTCAGATCACATGGCCCTGACCTGTGGGGTGCCTCAGGGGTCAATCCTGGGCCCCCTGTTGTTCAATCTCTACATGCTGCCATTAGGCCAGTTAATAAGCAGCAATAATGTGTCCTACCCCAATTATGCAGATGACACTCAGATCTACGTCTCTCTGGCAGCAGGAGACTATGGACCAGTGGACTCACTTGGTCACTGTATCCAACAGATCAGTGTGTGGATGCAAAACAACTTTCTCCAGCTAAACTCTGACAAGACTGAAGTCATAGTCTTTGGTCCACAGAAACAAAGGGACAGTGTCAGCAGTCACCTCCAGTCTCTCTCTCTAAAACCTTCAAATCAGGCAAGAAATCTAGGGGTAATAATGGACTCAGACTTGAACTTTAACAGCCACATCAAATCAATAACATCTGCAGCCTTTTACCATCTAAAAAAACATAGCAAAAATCAAAGGTTTACTGTCTAAAGTAGACTTGGAGAAACTTATCCATGCGTTTGTCTCCAGTAGGTTAGACTACTGTAATGGTCTGCTCACTGGTCTCTCAAAACGAGCTGTGAGACAGCTGCAGAACATCCAGAATGCTGCAGCTCGGGTCCTTACTCGAACTAGGAAGTACGAGCACATAAGTCCTGTGCTCAGGTCTCTGCACTGGCTTCCTGTGCCTCAGAGAATAGACTTTAAAGCAGCTCTGCTTGTGTACAAGTCTCTCCATGGCCGAGCACCAAAGTACATCTGTGACATGTTAGTGTCATATGAACCATCTCGCACTCTGAGGACCTCAGGGACCGGCCTCCTGCTGGTGCCCAGAATCAGGACTAAACAAGGGGAGTCAGCGTTTCAGGTTCATGCAGCTAAAACCTGGAACAGTCTTCCTGAACATGTGAGACAGGCCTCTTCTGTGACGCTGTTTAAATCCAGGCTCAAAACATTTCTGTTTAACTGTGCATATAACTGAAAGGTTTTCATTCCGCACTCTTCTTTCCAATTTATGTCTCTCTTTTAAAATTTTAATCTTCATGATTATTTATGTTTTGATTTGTTTTTATTATGATTTTAATGTATTTCTTATTCTGTAAAGCGCTTTGAATTACTTTGTGTACGAATTGTGCTATACAAATAAACTTGCCTTGCCTTGCCTTGCCTAGATGTCTGACTGATGTTTTGTTTGCGCCTATTACACTTGAAATCTCCAAATGACGAGAAGTGAGTTTTCACCTATCCTATAAATAAAACAAATATATAAAATAAATAAATCAAGAAATAAAATAACATGTATCATTTTAAGTTACATATAAATACATATTTTATAAAATATTTATATTGTATTACATACATTATGTATTATTTATTATATATTTATATGTATATTTATATATACGGTCTATGGGGGTGTCTACAAAATAAAGTTGGTTTCCAAAAAGCGTATAAACGGTACACTATAGACTTGTTTAAACAAATGTATGATCTGTGTATTATTTTGAAGGATTGTAACCGGAAATGCGCTGTATTTTCAGTAGTGTATGACATCATTCAGTGCGAGCAGTCAGCTGTCCTGCTAAAGCTCCCCCGGTTAGCTAACCGCCGATAAAAGCCGATATATTCTAGTTATTTAACATAATGGACAAAACTCCCACAAGATACAACGTGCAGTTATATATTTATGATTTATCACGGGGGATGGCTCGCAGTCTGAGTCCCATCATGTTAGGTGAGTTCCACACTCCTCCGATGCTGTGGCCTCTTGGATATTGAAGTGATAATGATAATAACAACCCGGCTCCATGACTGCTGAGCCGGTTACACAAGATTCACATCTATTGTTCATTAATTTATGTTTTGTGACATCGCTGAACATTATCAATAGAATGAGATCAATCAAATGAGAACAATTGCTTTTGCTTTGTTTAGATTTAACTCCAACATTTAGTTTTGTGGTGCATTTAATAACATATCTTATTTATATTTCAGGAAAGCAACTCGATGGTATATGGTGAGTAGGTCCCTATTACTTGACTGAATTCATTTTAGTCATTTTCTACACATTTTCTCTGTAATATGTGGTATTTTTTATGATTGCATAATTGTAACACATTGTTATCTTTCAGGCATACCGCTATAGTGGCATATGGTGATGAGTTTTTCTTTGGTGGAGAGGGAATTTCTAGCTGTTCACCGGTAAGGATATAATTGATGAAGCAAAAATATCACATTTATACTATACATTTATACTACTCCTGTAATACACAAAATGTATCTTGCCAGCTTTAAGTCATGTTATAATGTTAGCTCCTCAAAAATATCCCTGGAGTTGTGTTTTGTTTCATTCACACGTTTGAGTAAGCTGTTATTATTAGTCCGTCTACATCTCTAAATGCGCCGTTCCACCTTCTGATGCCATGAAGCTGTAGTTTTCAAGTTAACAGCAAACTTTTACCTTTAGTTCTGTAGAGAATGGCAATTCCAGGGCTGAAATTACCCATATGATTGAGCATTGATGAATGATGAATGAGAACTTCCTGTATATCCAAATGACATTACAAATTTGAGAGAAGGACTCAGCCTAAATGTTCAGGGATTGTGTGCTAAACATGTGAATGAAACAAAACACAACTCCATGTCTGTTTTTGATGAGGAAACAACATTATAACTTAGATCAGAAAATAGTATAATACTGGTCCCTTAATATTAAGGGTCAGGATCTCTTTATTTTTATTTGGTGTCCCTTTTAACACACACTACTGTATATTCCACCATAATGTGAACTCCTGGCCAAGACACAATCCTTTACTGCCATAGGACTACATGTTCAACGCAATCTGGAAACCATTTGTCTGTGATTCAATTATAATTTTGATTAATCACATATAAGAACAACACTTGACTTTTTCTGTCCATGTTCATATGTGTCTCTGCTTTTGTGTACAGGGTGGGACCATGTTGGGTCCTCCGGATACAGTTGTCGAGCTCGGAGAAACTGAAGTATCAGAGGAAATCTTCATGGACTATCTTTCCTCATTGGGAGAAAGCACATACAGGTATTTTATCATTTGAAAAGGCCCATGTCACGTTATTTTATGATGTATGTCATAGTGTTGTTTCCTCATTGCAAACATTCCTGGAGTTGTGTTTTGTTTCATTCACACTTTTCTTCTCTCACACTGAAAACACTGTTCCACCTTGTGATGTCTTATGTTAATGCGTGAAGATTCATTAGAATCATCTGGATAATTCCAGCTCTGGATTTTCCCATCTCTACTGAACTAAAGATAAAATGTAGCTATTACCTTGAAAACGTCCGCTTCATGACATCACAAGTTGGGTCAAAGCATTTTCCGCTTTGGAGATGTAGTTACTCAAACATGGCAAAAGGAGAAATTCAGTTTGTCAACTGGACAAAAGATTATTTACCTGGACGAATGAGGGATTTTACACATATCTTACTCAAACGTGAATGAAATAAAACACAACTCAACAACAACGTGACATGGTTTAAAGGTCAGAAGAGTCCTTTAATAAATTTACTTTTCTTGTGTCTTTTGGTATTTTAAGTTTGACTACTTCCTAATATGTGTTTTAGAGGTGACAAATATCGCCTTTTTGAGCACAACTGCAACACCTTTACCAATGAAGTATCCCAGTTCCTGACCGGAAGAACAATACCTTCTTATATCACTGACCTTCCATCTGAAGTCCTTTCCACGTGAGTATGGACTGCTTTTTGATTCAAATAAATGTTTTAAATCACACCTCCAGTTGCCCAAATGATTAGCAGCAATTAACAGACTTACAAAGACTGGATGTAGATGCAGTGTTATTCTAATATTTGCTCTTGTCTCCATAGACCATTTGGCCAAATGCTGCGGCCTATTCTGAATTCCATTCATATTGCCCCTCCTGGAGGAAATGTCATCAATGAACGAAGAAACGTCTGACAAGAAAGGTGCAGCAGGGCCAAGAGTTCAAGGTTACTTCCAGTGTAATCAATCAAAATAAGAATATATATCTTTAGTTTTTTATTGTTTGGGTCATCACAGCAAACCATAAAAAATTTGCCAATTTTATATTTGTACCAATATTTTAATTTCAAATGTTGAAGTTTCTTCCCCACTACACTATTGACTACAATGGAAGTAATCTTCAAACTATTTGATGTATTACATTTCAAAGATGCAGATTGTTGAACGATGGGACCATTGTGATTCAGTTCTATTACAGCATTTCCTGTATCCACACATTGTCCCTTTTTAGTTCCTTTGTGCAATATTTTAAAGCATTGTATGTTAGGCAATCACATGACACCGGAGGCTATCAATATTATTTATTTATTTATTGCTATTAATATTATTGATTTATTTATCACCATCTTATATTATACTGACTGCTTTTGCCAATTTTATAATTTTATTAAAAAGTAGGCTCTATTGTTTCAAGGACAAATTGTTTTTCAGTAGCCCCAGAGTGTGTTCCAGACCTGAACACTTCTGTGCCTTCATTTTATTCTTGACTACAGTGCTTTCCTATGAAGTTGGCCAACACAGATATCAGTGTGTATGAAGCTATTTATGTCTATCAATGCAAACTATTTTGATTTATTAGTTTTAAAATTATATTATTTATAATTTATTTATTACAGTTCACAGTGCAATGCAGATGCTATGAACCCAAAAACGCTGGGATGTTGTGTAAAATGTTAAACTAAAATAAATCTTAAACTTTGATCTTAAGTGGTCCCAAAAGAAACATAAAAGATGCCTGTCAGTATTAATACCTGATTTATTACAGTTTAAATACATTTTATAACACGTCAATGCCCCAACGTTTTTGAAATATAAGTTTTTATGTTCGAGAATCGCCTGTCTAACACTCCAATCTCGAAGCGCCATGCCATAAATACACGAACACATCTCCTCACTCAAACTCAATGGTCTTTGCATCTTAAACAATGTGAGGGATTACCGGATACACATTATAAAAAGACAACCAGGAGATTACAGCGTGATTAAAGCCAGCATTACCCATCTTCAGCCTCCTGCAATAACTATACCCAGCTCCACAACACCGATCCGCACACTAGAACAATGAATGTGCAAATGTGTCTAAACTGCATTGAGTACATTGTCAAAGCTCAGGTGACGTGATTTTTGCCTTGTGATTTAGCTGTTCTGCTAACACACATGCTAACAACCTACCTGACCACTGAAATGTATTACTGCACAACCCTTGTTCTCTACTTGTAACATCACATTTGAACCTTTCCTATTCTTTGTTTAAGATATTTGACCATAGATGTTTTGTGTATATTGTTTGTACCTTTGTGTAATTGTTTTTGTATTTGTAAAGCTCTATAAATCCACTGACTGCAAAACTAATGATTTGTTTTTATTGATTTTAATTTCATTTAGTTGACACAGGTTTCAGAACACTAAAAACAAATAGGGAGAAAAAAAGTTATGATGTTAAATTTTAAAATCAAGAGCAAGCATGAACACTATATATAAATTACACGATTACACAAAAATAAATAAAGAGCTAAACAGTCATGCAGTTCTCTGAATGTCCACAAAGAGGCAATATTGCTTTTCCCACATGTCTTTGTATAATACATGAAAGGTTCTCTCATTTGCTGTCAGTCTGCATCATGGCCTAATTTATTTATTTGCCTGTTATTTGTGAACATTGCTCTAACACATAATCTAATCTCCAATTTGTATCTTAATCAGTTTTGTGTTAACTGTTTGTAGCACTGGGATAGTTCTGGATTTCCTTTGGGATCAATAAAGTATCTATCTTTCCATCTATCTATTGTTTCACAGTCCTCTTGCACTCTTCTGACAACAATTTTTCATCATGCACTCTTCTGACAAAATGTTTCATCGTGCACTCTTTTGACAAGGAAGCAAAAGGATTTGAGGCAGACCTGGTCTTTGGCCCCCTCCACCTGCAGCAATAATAAATGCACACAGTTGGTCCTTGCCCTTCACCACCACTTGCTGAATCAGCTGAGTTACTGTAAGAATAATGTGACATTTGACAACCGTTAACCTTTTTCTTCACTTAAATGCTTCCATTAGACAGGGCCACAGTTGGGATATGACTCTTCCTCATATCGCTCTGACCCTCCTGCTGTGGGGTCACCCCCTGTACCACAGAGGTGACTCAACAGCTCCTATAGGCTTCAATCTCAGTCCTGTTAAGTCATCCATTTAATCTACTCGTGGTAAGGCTAGATGTGGAAGACGAAAAAGACAAGCCTGTTGTCCACTGCTACTGGGAACTACTACTAGTACTACTACTACTACTACAACTACTACTACTACTGCTACTTTTTAAAGACAGTGCAGTATAGTGTATTTACATTGTTGGCATGTTGTAGATTCTCTCTTTATAACACTACTACATTACAGTGACCACTTAAGCCTATATTGTTTAAGTTTAATACATTCATCAATAATTACAAAACACAATTAACAATTCTGAAAGCCATTAGTTGTAGAGCTTTGCTCACATCAACCACTTCTCCTGCCAGAGATTCAATCACATTGAAATAGGGCTGTGCACAAGTGAATTGATAAATCACAGATTAATCAAAATCCTGTGAAGCCTATCTTATTTGGTCTCCCAGCATATCAGAATATAGACACAGTCAAAATTTATAGCCTAGGTCTACATAGGCTATTATAATAATACGTACAAATTTTTTTTTCTGTTTAAAAATACATATGAATGAACAGGCAATTTTATTTTTTTACACAGTCAGACAAACCCCCTGTGAATAAATATCATGGACTTACCACTTTTTTTTTCCTGGTTCACTATTTAAATGGAAAAAATAAACAAGTACCTTAAATAAAATAAAAAAATCATAATCATAGTAATAATTTTCTGATAAAAAGGACTAATCAGTCAACTGTGTAAGCCCCTCCCACTGTTCGGTGTTTGAATTTGGTTTAAATTCAGGAAAGTGCCGTACTTGCTGGTGCTTTGGCAACCAGTAGGCATAAGTTCCAGAACAGTCCTGTCTCAGTTCATTTGCTCCTTGACTCCCATAGAGACAAGTCACATAGACACCTTGCTCCACTTGAACTCTCACTAAATCGTAAAAATCTTTAACTCGCTTCTCAGAAAGCACAGCAGAAGCATTTCAACATTTCTGGTTGAAGTTTTAGTGAGTTTATTAACTTACAATAGAAAGGGAAGACATTGACTTTGACCTTGTCCTGATAGCCTTGCAAGCAATTTTTACTGGAGGTAATTAGCTTAGTCTTACTGTAGTATAAACTAGCTTTTGTCTTAATAGATTTTGGTGATGAATGGAAAAAGAAAAAAAAAATCTCAAAAATGAAATTATTTTCATTTTGTTTGAGACCAGCACACTGTCTGTTAGCCTGTTTTAGTGTTTCTAAACCATATTTCAAACCTTAACCTGAAAAAATACAGATGATAGTATTTTTCCATGAAGTTACAATTTGTGTTGCACTGGGGCCTTGACCTAAACATTGAACAATGTGTAATGTGTGAAAAAAATTATTTGCCCTTAGTTTTGCAAAAAATATTAATTTAAGAGTTCCCCATTCTGACTGTAGCAGTGATACTAATTTTGGATATTCTGTGTACTCTCAGGTGACTACACTACAGAGCTGATAATGCCAAGGGTTCTGCCGATCATACGTGTTCAGATTGGTCCATTTGGGGGTTGGGATCCTGTAGTGCCACCTATGCCCCAGGTTGGTGGTACCCCTCAGAAGTATTGGCTGGATGAGGAGAATCATCTCCATCAATCTGACATTGAAGACGAGAATGGTCCTGTGGAGTTGGATGATGAAGCTCCAGCAGAGCCGCCTGCAGCACAAGGTTTGGTTTATTCTCAATTCTAGAAATCTGAAACAAAACAAAACAAAAAAACTTTGGTCTGATAAAAATGGCTAACCAGTCAACTGTGTAAGCCCCGCCCACTTTTCAGTGTTCTGATTTGGGCAACTGTTATACTTGTCTGTGTCTTGGCAACTGACATGTCAGTCGTCTAGTTTCAGTCCAGTCCAGTCTCAGCCCATTTACTCCTTGAGACTCATAGAGACAGGTTGCACACACCTCTTGCTTTGAGCAAACTTCAGATACTCTCCCAAACTCGAACAGATCTTCAAATCACTTCTCGAAAAGCACAGCAGAAGCATTTCTGACTGAAGTTTTTGTGAGTTTATAAATTTTAAGCAGAAACAGAAAGAACAAGCAATTAGTACAAACTGACTAAAATGGATTGTGTGTGATATCGTCAATAAAATCCATGCAAGGGATTTATTGAAAATTACAAGTAATAGTTGTTGTCACATGTCATGTTGCACTGGGGCTTTGACCTAAGCACTGAGCAATGTTCCACCCATCGCTTGACTATGCCCAGAGAAATAGTCCCTCCAGTGTGTCCTGGGCTTTCCCTGGGGCTCCTTCAGGTGGGACATGCCTGGAACACCTCCCGAGGAAGGCACCCAGGAGGCATCAGGAACAGATGCCCGAGCCACCTCTACTCCAAACTCCTCCTGTGTGACTGAGCTCCTTACCCAACTCCTTACCGAAATGTTGAATGTGTGAAAAAAATAATTTTACAAAAAACAGATGCATTCCATTTTTCTCCATCCTGACTATAGCTAGACTGTAGCAGTGATACAAATTTTGCAAACTGTATTTCTTCTCAGGTGACTTCGCTGATGTGCAGGCAATCCTGAGATTTCTGCAGGTTGCACCTCCTCAGATCGGTTCCTTTGTGGATCGGTCAAATCCTATTGCTATAGATCCTATAGATCCTTACAACTTTGAAGCTCATCTGTTTTGGCTGGAAGAGGAGTATCATTTCAATGCTCAATCTGACACTGAAGATGAGAATGGTCCTGTGGAGTCGTATGATCAAGTTCCAGCAGAGCCCCTCGCAGCACAAGGTTCGGTTTGTTCTTAATTCTACAAATCTAAATACACCTTAAAATTGTGGAAAGTGTCCACAACCACTATAAGTATTGGTAAATAATACATTTATATTTTATACTTTTATTTAGGAATGAGTCAGAAGAGACCAAGGGAGGAGGACAGTGATGACGGTGAAGAGGACATGTCACAACTAGTCAGTTGACGAGGAGGACACTGATTGAGCCCCGGGTCGCCTAGGCCTTTTTATGTGGAGTTTGCATGTTATTCCTGTGTCTGGGTGGGTTTCTTCTAGGCATTCCATGGCAAAGGAGAAATTCAATTTCTCCGATGAACAAATGTTTATTTAGGTTGAAAACTTTTCGCAGCTCATCCAAACTGCTTCTTCAGTTTTGGTCAGAATGCTGGTGGACATTGCTTTATAATTGTTTGCAGGAAGGAGCTAACTACACACTACGGGTGCGCTCCATTCAAATCGGCCCACCAAAAAACAAATTGAGGTCCGGGGGGGGGGGGGGGGGAGTGTGAATCAACAAAGCAACATTGGTAATTTTGGTCTGAGTTGTCTGTGTGGGAAACTTCCTGAAGACCTCTACCTGGAGCTGCCAGCCTATAGTTACTGCACAGTCTAAGAAAGACAATGTGCTCTCCTTGGCATCGTCACTAATGAATTTAATGTTAGGATCTACAGAATGAATATGTTTGTTATTAGATTCTTTTTTCAGACCATGAGTTTTCATACCTGACAATTTTGACTTCTCACTAGTGGTCTTTCTCAGAGTGTTCACATGATGTTGCTGTGATGTGTCCGGTCAGCTGATTTATACAGGTTTGGGTGCTGTCTTCCTACCAGTGGAGGCAGGATGAAGAAGTCAGACAGCATATGGCTCAGTCCGACTTCTCAGGACAGTATCCCAAGTGTGTGAGAGTAAAAAATCCCCCTCGTCTCAGTTGATAGTCCGTTCTGTATTTCAGTTGCCTCTTTAATCCAGTAATGATGTTTGTTGTCCTCTGTCCCAATGATGTTTGCTCCGTCCCAGTCCATAATGTGGTTCTCAGTGGTCAGAGATGGCTGATTTGAGTTGTTCCTGTTCTGCTTTGTGTTTTGTTGCTCGTGTGCACGCCTTTGGTCTTTTCTTCTCGCATTCTGTCCTATGTTCCTTTTTTCGTGTACTGAACGCCCTCCCTGTTTCCCCAATGTATGTTTTATTGCAAGACATGCAGGGTATTTCGTATTTGACATTACATTTATGCTCCGGTTCTATTTTATCTTCTGGGTGCACGAGTAGTTAGTTGCATGAGTTTTCTGTACGGTTTCACTGATGTGTTGATATTGTTTTTTCTCATTGCCCTCTGCACTTTTTCTGTTATGCCCCTGATGTACAGTAATGTTGCCATATCTGTTCTCTTTTTTCAGTTTTATTTTTTGTTTTTCTGGCTGTTTTTCTTTCTTTCTGAC